ATCAATGCTTTCCCTCTCCACTCCTTTACAGCCATTGACATCTCCTCTGTTGCGGCTGCTATCCTGCCTCTCCAAGCTGTTCCCCCCCCCCCCTCCTTACGCACCTCTTCTCCTATTGGCCACAGAGCCAGTTTCCTGCCAGGCCCCCGGGTTTATTTCCTGTTTGTCCTGGCGCAGGGGGCAACTTGTCCAGAGAGACCAACTGCTTGGTCGCTGCCAGCTGTGAGCACTTGGCACAGCTTGGCACGCAGAGCCGGGTTACACCTCCGGAGACCGAGTGCCGGCACCTACGTACACAGTCGCGACACACACACACACACACACACACACACACACACACATTCCTGTACGTGCCTCATAGTGAGGTCCAGGTTAATTAACTGCTGGAGTGAGGACCACCCTTTCTACTATACTTAGAGACAAATGCATGATAGATTCCAACACTGGGTGGCACCTTGATGCCAGTTTCCACCTCAGTTCCTTAAAAAACATGAAGGAAATTTTTAATTTTTTTAACCCAGTTTACCACTGGAGTGGGGACCTTTTCAAGGGGGCTATTGAGTTCGTTTCAGAATGGACTAGTTTAACTACCTTCTATTTTTAGCATTAAATTTAATAATTTTAATGTTCTAGTATAACACATTATGTAAAAATAAGTCAGTATGGACATTTTTAAAAAGAATTGCCCAGTCTGAGATTCATAGATAAGCAGAATACCTAAATTTATGGAGGTGACCATCGATTTGACTGCTGTACAAACATACATACTTACTGGTCAATTACTGCTTTACTAAAGTAAATATAACTTGAGCAATCCACATATACAACTTTCAACAAAGCTGCAGGGATATAAAAGAAATCCATTTTATTTATTCATTTAGCTGAAGCTTTTATCCAAAGTGACTTACAATTGCTATACATGTCGGAGGTCACACGCCTCTGGAGCAACTAGGGTTAAGTGTCTTACTCAGGGACACAGTGGATGGTCACAGTGGGGGATTGAAGTGCGCTATCACCACCCCCAAATCCATTGTTTATTAAGCATAAACAGAAATAAATTATTCCAGAAACAAACTATTGCCTCTTGTACAACTCAAAAAATACAGTAAAGTGTACTGTATCATAACTACTATTAATTCACCAATTAAAGTGAGGGCCAATATGAAGAAAATTGATATTATCAGACAATCAATTGAAAATGGAACACTGTCTTGCAAAGTACAATGAAAACAAAATAATCCTTTGAATTTTTTACAACTGGTTTTGAGTTTTAGGAACGCTGAACACTAGCTTATTGTGGCTAGCCTTGCCTTTTACAGTACATCATCTGACACTATATGGTCCAGGATAGATTAATTTCAGATTATTATCAATCAGTAGTTCAGTAGGAGACTGTAAATGGCAAAAACATTTGGCTTTTGAATACTTAAGAATACGTGAAGCGCCGCTTTGTCTAAGGGTCACAATTGTGTTGTACACAAAGTTTGACATCTTTCCATGACCCTTGAGCCAAGGCCTTTCTCCATGTATACATTGCTCACAGTCCTTTTTTCCAGGCACTCTACATCGCAGTTCTCTCTACCTCACTCCATGCTCTCTTGCTCTCTCATGTTTGACTTTGTTCTTCTGTGGAAGCCTGGGGGTCTCATCTACAACAGGAACAGACAAACATCATTTCCTATTAGTCGATGAAACCTCAGGTATAATTTTTTTAAAAATGCTCATGTGTATTCAAGTGCTTTAATTAAATGTGACAACCAAGAACTGACAGATGATTGCAACTCTCTTACCATGGGACAAAAAAGGTTAATTGTTAAAGGTCACAAAAACACATTTAATATTTACCATCATCAGTGTTGGGCAGTAACGCTTTACTGTAATAATATTACTTTTCCCTGTAACTAGTAGTGTAATTGTAAAGTGAAGTGTAGTTACTTTTCTAAAAAACTCGTTACTAAACGCACCATCCTTGACATGAATCCACGACTGTGCGGCAGCTCAGCGGTACCGTATGTAAAGACCATAGCATACTCGCTGTTGTGAATACGATATTAGTTAATAACTCGAGAGATGCTTTGTTTGGGGGCAAAGGCAGGGTGGTAGTGAAAGCAGTGTTTCCCATAATTAGCCTATAATTTGGTTAATTGTCAACGCTGACCACCACATTAATTTAAAAATTTTTACTAGGCATATTTAAAATCATATTGACTGAGGAGCTGTATTGAGGAGCAAATATTCGTGCAGCACCTCCTGGCTCGCGCTCTCTTCTCTCTCGTGAACACCGCTGCACAAACTTGTCCAAAGTCTGTGTTCGGTCCCGTTCATACAGTGTTTACTGGGAGGCTGCTGAGCGCGGTGTCGTTGCACGCTTGGCTCCTGTTCTGGTGCCCAAACCAGCGCCGCTTGCTGAGGCCTAAAACCTCAGTGCCTGAGAGAGGTGTAACGTTAAACACAAAACACTCCCAGGTGCTGCGAGCTCCCAGTCCGGGCTGAGTCAGCTACGACCACTAGGCTAACTGAGCTTATAAGATCACAGCAGCTACTTAATGGCACTTAGCAGTTACTTTAGCAACAAGTAACACATCTGTTCATCAGCAACCTCCGTAAATCACAGAGAGTTGAGACAGAGCAGCTGGGGGACACGGGGAACTTTAATGTTATTTTATGAGGCCCAACAGTTACTGTGTTGCCTTAGTAGACAGCAGAGGACGCAGACAGAACTAAATAGATTGTGCTGTAGCACGACAGTAATGATCTCTCTGAAAAGATAGATCGTGGAGACATTTTATTAGATCTAATATTGCCCACCCAGTAATAAGTAAAGTAATACTTTAAAGGAGTAATAACTAGTAATATATAATAATTTCTGAGTAACTTGCCCAACACTGACCATCATAAATTAGAAAAGAGTTACAAACAAACACTCAAACAAAAGTACACATACACTTACAGTAAGAGTAAAGTAGTACTCTACTTGTCTTTTGACTGAGTTAAAGTATGAAACAAAGGCAGGAGTTTTTATATTTCATAATTAAAGCAATTTAACTCACCATCAGTGAGTTCTCCTTATCTCTAACTCAGCGCAGGGGTCAGAACCTCCATCTGAAAAACAAGAGCATACAAAAAGTAACACCTCATACTATATAGTGTGGGTAAGGCTGCATCCTTCTGTATTTGTTAACTGTTAGAGAGTTGAAAAGTGTTTCAGGTTTTAAATGGACAGCATCCTTACTGCCAAAAACATATTATCCACTGGTCTTCCTCTCTTCACTGTGTGTGGGGTGGAGGTGAAAGTGAGACTTTCACCTGTGAAAAACAGCAACAGTCATTTATTATTACTCTGTGCTCTAATAAAAACCTAAGTTGCAGAGTACAAAGACTGCCGGTGAATAAAAGGAGTTTTAAAATGACTTGTCTTGACCTTCCAATGTTACTGGCCTGTATGGATCAGTTACACCATTTTCACTATACTAAAACTAGAGCAATTACACACCCAATACCTCCTTTGCGAGCATTTTCTTTCCTTTCTTCATTTTCTTTTTGTTAAACATATTTCACATACTTGTTAGTGTTGTTTAGATTTTTTTATATAACACTCGGCTAATTTTGTTAGGCCTTTTTTAAATAATGACTGCACATACAGTATAAACACCGTCCGTGGAAATTGTGGTACTGACAGAGGATTAATCAGATAATTGCACACTAATAATTATACGAGGACTGAATATCAACTGCTCTTCTAAAGGTGTAACTGTTTCTACAGTGTATATATTCGCGCAACATCTCTCGCTCACTCTCTCCGTCTCTCATGAACAGCGCTGCACAAATCTCTCCAACACAAAGCTGTCAATGTCAGAGACCCACCTTAGTTGGTATAGGGAATTAAACCTGAACGTGTCACTTACAATCGATGCCGTAGCGGTGAGAGTCGAGCTTTCAGTACAACGTAAACAAAGAAAGCAGCATGTAACCTTTCAGACCCACCGCACAGAAAGAGGCCCATTATTTCAGCGACTTGCGCCGCGCTAGGGCACTTTGTTGCTGTGTAGAGGATCGCGCACCGCACGCCATGCCGCAGTCGAAGTACTTTTGTGCTGAACCCAGCGCAAATCGCTTCTTTTCTGAAAGGTTCTTTATGGAAGAACATAGTCCTTTCAATACCTTCCGTCACTGAACATTTAACGTTACATCTGTGTTGAAAAAATGTTGCCAGGTGTAAAACACTACATAACATCAGGAGCTTTTAGACTTTCAGGACTGTAGGCTACCAATTACCTGCATTTCAGTTATTAATAACACTGCATGAATGATGTCTAGATGAGAGTTGATGACAACAATTCAGTTTATTTCCCTCTTATTAACAGTTTCCCCTGGGGAATAAATGAAGTTAATATTCCTCTTATAGTAATAATACTTACATATTATAGAAACACAATTGTTAATGTAATTTAATATTAAAAATCAACTTAAGTTATTACTAGTGAAAATTAATGCATAATCGTGAAACCGTGATTATTTCTCTGACAATAATCTGTAATCGTTGCATCCCTATTGATGATAGGGCTGGGAAATCTGTCACAATTTAGGGTGCTATGATTACATAACAATAATAATTCCCAATGTATCTTTGTGGGTATAAAATTTTTGTTCCATAGAATTACTTTATGAATGACCACATTCATAACAACCTAATCATTAAAACCAATATAATAATCACTTATTTCCATTTGCTTTATTAATACAATCAAAGTACACAAACTGACAAGTATGTAACTGAATTGAATCTTGACTAATAAACTGTTGACATCTTTGAACAGACTCCACTTATTTTTCAGTAGGTCGTTTACTTGTCATCCACTCTCAACGTTTTACCCACATTACGACTGTCGCAGCAAGAACTGCATGGTATCTACAACTTTGCAAGTTGACAAGGCACAGCAACAAACTGACTGCAGTCCCACTGACATCTTGCTCTCAGGATTGGCCAAAAAGTTGCAGTCTCTGCCTGGGACTCTACTTTCATTTAAAAAAGAAATCTGCCATCAACTTTTGTCTGAGAGAACAGAACGAGCAGGGACTGATTTGAGTTCATGCTCAGGACAAAGGCTTTTTTACATAGTCATTTTAGTAGTATAGTGTTGAATAATACAAATAAATTATGTTAATAACTGACAATTAACGTAAAAGTTAATTTACCTTGAAGAAATAGTTTTTTGGGGGAATACATGTATTGTCTTTCTTTCTGAGGGTTTATTGAGAAGATCAAATCACTTTAGTGTGCATGCTAAATATAAATAAATCTATATTATCTAAAGCTAATTGGCTGCTGGCTCTAACTCCATATTTAGTGAATAGACATGACAGTCCTTTACTTTTCTCATCCAGCACTTGGCGAGAAAGTGAATAAGCACACGTACCAAAATGTTGCAACTGTTCTAACATGTCATAATATAACATCCATAACTTCACTAGAAGTTTTAGTCCGTGTACACGGTGACAGCGTGCGTGCTGGTCAGGACTGGTAAATGAAACTGTTGAAACACGAGAGACTGGCTTGTGCTGAGTAGGGATGCAACGATTACAGATTTTGTTGGTACGATTATAGTCAGAGGAATAATCACGGTTTCAAGATTATCATGATTATTATGCATTAAATTTAACAACACTAGTAATTACTTAAGTAGGTTTTTAATATTACATTAACAATTATAAAACTATAATATTTAAGTATTATTATTAATATAAGAGGAATATTAACTTTATCTCCCAGGGGAAATTGTTATTGGGGAGGGGAATAAACTGAACTGTTGTCATCAACTCTCATCCACATGTATAAGTTTTAGTGAAAATGATGATGAATGTTCAATGATGAAAATTGAGAACATGTCTCATGCAGCGTTATTAATAACTGAAATGCAGGTAATTGGTAGCCCACAGTTCTGGAAGTTTATAAGCTCCTGATGTTCTGTTAGTGTTTTACACCTGCAACATTTTCTCAGCACAGACAGGAGGAAGCAACAGGATGTTAAATGTTCAGTGACTGAAGGTCGGCAGAGGACAACGTTCTTCCATAAAGAACCTTTCACAAAAGAAGTGATTTGCACTGTGTGGAAGCTGGGTTCAGCGCAAAAGTTCAGCTAATTTGACTGCTGCTTGCGTGCGAGCTCGTCAAGCTTTGGCGTGGCACAAGCCATTGAAAATAGGCCTCATAGCGCAGCGGTGCTGTCGGTTACACCTGCTTTGTTTGTTTATGTTGTACTGAAAGCTCGATCTCAGTGCGACAGCATTGATTGTAAGTGTCACAATTATATTTAATTCCCCAACAACCTGCCACATTATTTAAATAAGTTATTATGTATTACCTTTACTTACTTATTTTAAAACAATTGTAAAATGGGTCGCCAAATTTACTTGGGCAGCTGTTAATCTACCTGGACGGCCCGCCCAAGTAAACCCTATGTGTGGGAAACGCTGATTAATTAACCGTGACGTTTTAAAGCACGGTTAATAGTGAAATCCAGCAATCGCTACATCCCCAGTGCTGAGCAATATCCCATTCAGTCAGCTGTTTACCCCAACCCCTTGTAAAATGTAGCTTTTCCACTGCAGGCTATATAAATCCATCTCGCCTGATGTTAGCAGTAAGATTACTGGCAGCTAAAGTTCAGGAACAGCGTTAAGATTAAGTACTGTAAAATAATCACAACTTCTAAGCCTGCAGATATTCAATTTCTGATTAGGGCTGTACGTAACGATTATTTTTCAAGTCAATTAATCAAACGATTATTTTTTCAATTACCCAATTAATCTAACGACTAATTTTCTGTATTCTAAAAGGAAAAAAGTTGCCTATTACTCGATTAACATACCAATTTATCCAAAATAAATATCAAAAACATTCCTAATAAATAAATCTATATTTTAATCATCCTGATGAAGCACATTAGAATAATGTGTGTGTGTATATATATATATATATATAAAATAAGAATAGCAGCAAATCTTAAAATGAATCAAATTTCCACGCCATTGATGTGTTGTGATAACAACAATAACAGACATTAATTATTAGGCTACTTTACTTAAAACTTTTAATGTTTTTGACATGGATTAATTTCAATATTGAGTACTGCAGTATGATAATCAAATGTATTTCTGCATCAGTGTCGGGCAAAGAAAACAATTGAAAGGATTCACAGACTGTACAGACAGTCACAGATCGTCTGTAATGTTAGTTTCAGCTGTTTTCTCGCTCATATGTGGCCGTTAATTAAAACAGAAAATATGAAACGGCCGAACGTTCGATGTCTTGAGGTGTAACGTTATGCTACAATGACAGCAGCGGGGCAAAAATTACTTTTAACATGAAAGCGATTAAGAAATACTACGTGTCCTTGTGCTGATGATGTGCCATGCTCGTGTGGCGACAGAAAGTAAATAGGATTTGCGGTGCTGCCGTCAGTGCTCCAGGATACTTTCGCTCACGTGTTCATGCTGCTTCACGTATTCGTGGACAGTTGTGCTGCAGTGAAGCTTTTCTCAGATCACAGAGACTGTCTGTCTAAAATACTTCCAAACTTTAGATGGTCGAAGGCACGGTCTTGTAGCTGGAGCTTGTCCGGGGGAATCCTGCCAACACTGGATCGACTATGTTGACGAATTGCCCGAGCCCTAAATTCCTGTTTATATTATCGGTCTGCAGCTGATATTGTTTCATTTAAAAATGTCAGCTTTAACGCTGAATCACAACTACTACTACTTTTACAGTGAAGAAAGAAGTCAGTGTCAGGATGGAGTAAAGAGTTTGTAAAGGCACATACCTGTGTTTGACTCATAGCGATCTCTTCCTGGACCTAACACCAATGAGAATAATGAAAATGATGTCATGTTATACTCTGAACAAAATATAAAAATAACAATGTGTAGTAGTAATATTAAGTGATACAGTACTGCTGCATTTCATATCATATAATACATCTCTCTACACAGTGAGAGAGAGAGAATAAACACATGTTTTAAGTGAATTGGACACCCTGTCATAAATACGAGGTTACGTCTCAAGTCTCCAGTGAGACAATGTGCCATTTGTGCTTTGTTTCCAGATACTGCTTTATACTCAGTAGCGACTATTCAGGACACCTGTACAATCTACTGCAATTCTGTACAACAGGTTCAGTTTCTGACCATTTTGTCAGGAATGTGTAAATTCAGTTCTGTTTATTACTAAGCCTATAGTTCAAGGTGTTGTTACACTGAAAGGTGATTTTGCTCTCCCTGTTTATATATGAGTAGGGCGGAATATTAAACACATCTGAATATGATGTAGTCCAGTACAACATTTTCACCAACTATGACCTCAGTGCTAAAAAATTTAATTCACTTAACACCTATATGACTGTGTCAAAAAAGAAAACTGATTAAAGGCATCATTAAAGTAGACTTTGTGGCAGCACTGTTGTAATGGATTGTATAAGACTTTACAGGTGTACTTTATAAAGTAAGTGTTACTTTTTGAAAATCCGTTGCAGGCTGCGGGCAGATTTTACCTAATTTTATAAACAAACTGTTGTCAGGAAACATCACGTTTTCTTCTTTTTATGGTGGCAACTGTTATTCAGCTCTCCCTGTCAGAAGCTTTCCCTCCACTAACTAAACAGACAGTCACAGAGGTGGGAGTGAGACAGGCAATAGGAAAGGGTACTAAATCAATCAAGTAGTAGCTGATAAATATTTAATTTTCACACAATAAGCCATGAGAACAGAGCTGCTTTGGGATCAAAATAATAATAAAAGAGACTGTGTTACATCTACTTCAGTGTCCTCTCTCAGGTGTAATGTTGGCTCACCTGTCTTGGGCCACATCCGCACTACTACGTTTCTGTTTAAAAGGAGATTTAAACCAAAAACGATCTCCGTCCCCAGCAGCATTTTATCTGCATAACAGAATGGATCTCTGTCTCTGAATACGTGAAGTGGCCGTCCACATAGCCTACACTGAGCATGCGCGTGCCGGTATAAACAGGAAGCACATTGTCTACTTCGCATTAGTAGAAGATTTGTTAAAAGAAGAAGGTACTACTACAGACTAAAAACCACACCAGAGATAGTTCTGCATGGATCTAACACGAGGTGGAATTGTTACTGACAGTAACAGGGGAGTTAAAAGCAGCTGTGGCAGCAGAAAAAACAGACTGGGATTTGTCGCAAAGCAAATACGGCCTCATGCACAGTAGCCTATAAGTGTATTGTTATTTACACAGAAAAAAATATTTACAATTTAACAGCACTATTCTGTTGCATCTGCACTAAATCCATTAAATATGCACTTCTGCCATCATGTTAAACCATGTACCTATCAATTGTGTGCTGGAGATCTGACTGGAGCGGTTCTGGAGCCACTCAATTAAAGTTAGAGCTTGCTGTTTTCTTCCATTCAAAATAATATTGCACATTAACATCATTTGACAAGAAGCAGAAATATCTATAAATCTTACCTGCTCTGAAATTGCCTCTTGCGTCGGTTAAGATGAAGTCTTCGTCTTTAAATTTTTCAAACAAATCTCTCCAAACTCCTGCTAACAAATCTCTCCAAACTCCGGCCACGCTCTGTTTTCTTCTGCTCCTCTCTGCTGCGCTGCTGAAAGGTTGGGGGAGGGGGGAAAGTTCCAGGTGCAGGGGGGCGTGTCCCTCCGCTGATGGCCCATTAATTAAGCCTGAGCCAGAGGCTGCAAAGTCACCACAATATTCTCCACTTCTCAGCTCTGACACAGAGGCCTGTGTTACAGGCTACAGTGTTTAAAATAAAGCAAGAAACACATTTATCAGTGACAGTAGAAACACCAGGCTTTACATACTGTTAGAAGTAAAATTTCATATATTTAAAATTTTACTTAACTAAAAGTATAAAAGTACCATAAGCAAACACCGTAATTTAATTGTTGACTGTATTTTATTCATCTAAATCTGAAATGCAGCTAGTAACAAAATCTATACAATTTTAGACGTATAAAGAAAAATGGTGGTTTTAGAGAGTCTTGAATCTGTGGAACTGTACAGGCCACTTTGTGTGTATTTGTATATGGGGCAGCGGAGGTTTAAGGGGGACCTCAACACTGTCAGGAGAACTGTCTGTGTTCCCTCCACATTTGCCCAGGTTCTGGCTAAGACATCATAGGAAGAGACTTGAGGGAGATGCTTTGCTCAGTCTTATTAATGGCTCTTTTTTGTCCTCAGGAGATAAAAAAGGATGCCCTGAGCACATTTTGAATACTGTACCTTCTGTTTTAAGTGCAACAACTTTTCCAGTGCACCATCCAGCTGATAGTTACTTTAAATATAGTACAATGGTCCCTTACTCAAGAAAAGTAGAAATAGATATTTATCACAAGTCCTCAAAAAGGTATAAAAGTATTCCATAGTCATAGTGAATATACTTAAGTATCAAAAGTAAAAGTGCTCATTCTGTATGACATTGTAGTACCTCAGTTCATGCATGCATTCTGTCCTTAATGAATTAATCTCCAAACATCAGTGGTTGGTGTTCCAGTTATGCTGGCTGTAACAAAGTTGTGCAATATTTTCATTGACAAATAATTATTTTTCTTCATCTCAGTAACTTTATAGGGTTCAGATAAACAGCAATAAATACAATACAGGATTTAAAAATGTAGGGGAGCAAAAGTATAAAGCCCCTAAAATGAAAATACTTAACATTTACAGGAATCATATGTGAGGTTTCTTTGGCTCTTTCTCTGGTCTCATATGGTGCAATGTTCAGGGTACTTAAATTAAATTAGACTTATTCAAGATCAGTTAGAGATCTCTTGTTTTGATTGAGGAAGATATAAATGAGATGATATGTGGTTGTTTCTCCTGAGTTGAATTTAAGACGTAGGAGAAAAAATCCTTTGGTCTCACCTTAGTATAAAAGTAAATATTTTCTATTGAGGAGAAATTAAAGAAACACCTATATCTCTTCTTGGATTTTGCTTTTCTCTGTGCAAGCACCTGCAATGTAATCAAATAATCTACAAAGTAACAAATGTGAATCATTTTGGTTGGGAGGGTGGAGGTGGGTGCCATTATAAATGTACCTGAGCTGCCATTTCAGTGACTGACATGTTTTTATATCTTATGTAAAACAGGACATGATCCTGGATCATAGTAAAGATTTTCTCCAAAAATGATTGTTGTAAAACTCTCCCTGCTCTCTAAAACCATTTTTAAGGAACGAAGGCAATCCTTAGTGTCATTAGTCATTAGTATGCAGGCCATAATTTTCCTTTGGTGAGTTATTGTGTAGGCACAGAGTCTCTAAGACCAGCTACAGGTACCACTGAGGAACTAGGAGAGCAAAGAGGGCCCAGGAGAGAGGTCATGTCCGTGTGACCGAGCTGCGTGATGTGGCTGTGGAGGCTGCTCAGTGACTACCATAGTATTTGACAGGCTGAGGTCTTCTATCTTGTCCCATTCAGTAGCATAGCCAGGAACACCAGACAGGACACTGAGGATTCTCCTTGGAGTCAAACAGGTTGGTGACCAGCTGTCCAAAGTGCTGCCAAAGTTAGATCTGTCCAAATACAGGTGGAGCTGCCGCTCACTCCAGTGGCTCCCTGAACATCACACCCTCTGGGCCTACTGTATCCCTGCCCTGTAGCTGCTGAGGCAACTAAAGCTGTGCACGCTTTCACCATCTATTGTATGTGTGTGTTTTAATGAATAAGAGGTTACAAGAAACAACATTTATTTGTTAAACACAGTAGCAATATCTGTCCAAGCACTGTCCTCCAAAAGCATGTATATTTAAGTTTTCATGTTCCCTCTCAGGTCACAGTGCTGTAACCACATGTGTAAATATTGTGAGCAGGGCCAGTGTGGAGACAGCTGAGGTGAATTAACACAAAGTAGTCTGTGTGTTGGAAAAACTAAATTCATAAATCATTTAGGTCAAATTTTTCAAATCATGTTCCTGAAAATAAACTTTCCCCTCCTCTCCTAGCTCCCTATGTAAGCTGTCACCAAGCTGTGTCTGGTTACCATAAAAAGATCACAGATCAAATTATTACTTTACAGTTGACTCTTTTTTTTGCTGGTCTCTACAGACAACTCTCAATTTTAGATTTATTTTCTGCTGTTCTTCTCTTACCCTGGGATTACTTGCTTTAGATAGATCTTGGCTTCATTACATTTTTCCTTAAGAGACATTTAGGTTTCACAGATCAGAATTCATTAGCCTAGCTCAATAGCTCAGCAAAAAAACAGGTCTGATAGATGCACGAATCTGAGGCTTGAAAGAAGGCCTGAAGTGCTTGGGTTATGGCTAAAAAGACCAACTCATTCTTATTTACAGGTCATCCAATACTGCATAGACTACTATTACACAACCCTGAAGATGGGTTTGTAAATGTATTTATTCTTGGTTTTAAGATTTTATATCAGCATGACAATTATAATCTGTTCTGTTAGCTAGAGTAAGCATAACACAGAATAATAAAAATAATAAAAGGTAATAACAATGAGATACAGAATAAATTATTTTTAAATGGGAAATAAAACAGAAATGAAATATTGACATTACAAATTAATTATAGGATTTGCTATGGACAAATAAATTATGTGTAGAAAATATATAAAGATAAGAAATGAAATGTGACGTGGGGGCTGAATGCACAATAAAAAGCCCATTCTGATGATATGTGATATATGTATGTATATATATATATATATGGTATATGTGACAAGTGCAGGGATTACATAAGGGAATAAAAGTCCAGTTTGATGACCCCTTCTCTTAGCAAAAGTGATTTTATAAGTAAATATCCTCAGCCAGATATTGTTAGAAATATACAATTAAATGAGCACCATCATATTTTACAATCACAGGCTGTAAAACACCCTTTCTCAACAGAAATAGTGGCCTTTGGATTCATTTCACGGCCGACTGGCAGAAATTTGAAATGGAATCAAGCCATCTTACGGCAGACGGCCCAAACAGAAATGGAACGCGCCCAGTCCACTTACGTGGACCGAGAGAGGGAGGGGGAGCGAGAGAGATACGTTAATCAATTGAAGCTTTGGCGTTTTGTGCACATGAGCTTATTAACTTATTAAATCGCCATAAAACAATCAAATTCGGAGCAAAGCAAAGCTAGTGAAGGTTAAAGTTACGTTAGCAGCGATGCTAACGCGCAGCTGCACCTGCAAGCAGACGTGAGCAGCGTGAGGACCGGACAGGATGATGGACAGAACTTTAAATCAGGGAGAGATACTGGTGGAGGAGAAAGTTAATAGATGATTTAAAATGCTTTATTTAAATGGACACGGAGCTGCCAGAACAAGAAGCAGGGGAGAGGATGCTGAGGCTATATAGATGTTTAATTAACAGAAAGGTAAGCATGTGTTTTTATTAACGTTATTCCGTAGTGTTGGATGTTGATTAATTATCTTGAGAGAGTGATGAGCAAGTGGGCGTTTGTGCTGTGAAATTATAAGAGTTGACTAACTTAATGCAAACTTATGTAAGTCCCATGTTGTGGGCATGATGCCTGAATGTAATATTTTGGCTTATTGCTGTAAATACAGTGGTGGAAGAAGTACTCGATTTTCCTACTTAAGTAAAAATGCAGATACCACATAAAAAAGTTACTCAAGTAAAAGTAAAAAAGTACCTGGTTTTAAAATATACTTAAGTAATCAAAAGTACTACACATCAAAATCTATACACAGTATTTATTTTTAAATTCACTCCAGACAGCATTATAAGTTACAGTGAATCACAATAAGGAAGAGTACAAGTGGATATTTCCTATACTGTGGGAGGATTAGCCTGTGTTCTGCTCTTGTAGTAGTTTCCCCCTTCAGACCGACCTCATTTTGGACTTTGGGCATGTGCACGGGTTGTGTTGGACAAGGAGGTCAAAACTAACTGAAACACTTCTCAATTCACAATCTCATCAAAAATCCACATGTTAACGTCTGCACCTCTGATAAAGTGCAACTCACAGTCCCACACAGAGCGAGGTTGGCTTCAGTTTTCACATGTTTATATTGCAAAGCTCTAGCAGCTACGTTAGCACTCGGCCACAGACAAAAACAGAGCTGCTGCACAGTCACACCTGACACAACAATGCTCTCACTACAGTCCTCCCTCTTTAATTAGCCTGAATAGAAACCTCTTCTAGAAAAGTCCAGAGCTGCTTTGAACAGACCTCTGGCACTAACTCAGTCCTCATGAAGTCTGTTAAGACCGGGGGCCAGTCTGCCGGGTCATTTGGTGAAGCAGCAACTGTTCCGTTAGGGTCTGATGCTGGCTGTTCATCTCTGGCTGCGCTGGTAATGTCTGAGGCTGCCTGTGTTTCACCTGGGTCTGTGGGACCCGCTAAAGACGTCCGGACCGGGTCTGTGCTCGCACTGACTGAGGCCGGATGTGGATCAGCTGGGCTGACTGGCTGGAGTCTGTTCTTGTACTGGCTGATGATCCCAAATTTACTCCACTGACAAACTTAAGCAAAGCCCTTGTCAATGTAATGCAAATCCACTGCTTCCCATCTTGCATTAGTCCAGAGTTGGAAATAAACTTCACTGTCTTGTTTTAAAATGATGTATGAGGAGTGCCCTCACATCCTGTCTGGACTGGTTCACAGATGTTTATTGCTGGAATGCGTGAATAAAATTTTTTAGGCCGTGAATATGAACGCATTTCCACGTGCAATGCGGTCATCTTTTCCGAGCTGCAGTTTATAAACACTGTGGCCCGTCTGCGTTATCAAACATAATAAATAGTTGTATTTTTACTCAACATTGTTCTGTCACAGTCTGGCAAGAAACCAAGACACGACAGACAAGAGCTGCGCTTCTCAGCTGGTTAGCAGGACAGACAGACAGAAATTCACAGCAGCTACACATTAACTGAACATTAGGCTACTGTTACTGTTACCTGCTGACATCAGACTCTGAGAGGAGCGAACACAAGTTTACCTGCCTGCTGTTCCTGCACTTCACTCTCACTGAGCTTCTTTCTCTTCTCGTGCCTAGAAGGATAGTCCCTCTTCATCCTCTCATTTGACACGACAGTGAGGCGGGGCCGTCCACCTCTGCGCAAGACTGACTTTATTACTATCCCTGTGTAAGCCGGTGTCGCATCTGCTGGGTTAATTCGCGCAGAGTCAGCTTTATTAGTTCACATTTGTTTTTCAGTGCTGCAACCGGGGTGAGATCAGTGCTATCCACTGGCCCACCGTGCCGCCCAACAATGCACCAATATATGCACATATTGTTTATTGTGTCACTGTTGTTTAGTTTCAGCACATGTATTACCTGTGTGCCAGGTACTGTCTATAACCTACTGGGTTCAGTAGCTGACAGATGTTGTGCAAAGTTAACGTTAGTTACCACTGAAAGGAAGTATTTCCTGCCTGCGGGAGTGTAAGCATTCAGTGGTGACAGCGGAGCTTCGAGTTCACCAAAGTAGATGAAAAATATAACGTGGATTGTTTAATCTATCCTTTCAGTATTGTTGTTTTATCAACAAGGTTTTGCAAAGCAAGCTAACATATGGCTTCTGCCTTCTGTAGGCTAACATTATGTGTTATTGAATCAAGAATGTATAAACAAGAAACCACATTTTTTCTCTCAGTAAAGCAAACATTTAGGTAGGTAGGTAGGTTTTATTTTCACAATATAACAAGTTGTAGAGTGAAATTGAGTTTTATAACTCCCTTCTGCTACATAGCAGACAGGAAACAATTAATTATATAAAAATAACAGAAATAAACTATCATCACTGGAGCAGTGCTGAGGATGAACTAGAGTTTAAGAGTCTGATAGTTTGGGGGGGAAAGCTGCTCTGCAATCTGGTGGTGCAGCAGCAGAAACTTCTATATCTCTTCCCAGAAGGCAGCAGGGTGAACAGGCTGTGGCTAGGTGGGAACTGTCCTTTAGTATCCTTTGGGCTCTGCAGGCACCTCACCTCACTGATATCACTGATGCTCGGGAGATGGGTACCAATGATCTTCTGTTGATCTTCTGAGTGTTTTAATCACCCGCTGCAGAACTCTCCGGTCCTGGGCTGTGCACATCCCATGTTAGTGACGTTTCCAGTCTGGATGCATTCTGTTGCTCCCCTGTAAAAGCTGACAAGGACTTGGCGTGGGAATTTGGTCTTCTTAAGCTTCCTCAAGAAATCCAGTCGTATCTTAGCTTTCTTCACCAGAGTGGAGATGTGAGACGACCATGTCAGGTTCTCTGTGATGCCGATTCCCAGGATCTTGAAACTATTCACCTGCTCCACCTCAGCTCTACTGATGCCGACAGGAGTGTGTGTCTTTATCTCCTTCTTCCTAAAATCAATGAGCAGCTCCTTGGTTTTGCTGACGTTGAGCGGTAGGTTGTTCTCTGAGCACCACTCTACAAGATTATGAATTTCCTCCCCATATGAAGTCTCATCCATGTCGGGGGATGCAGTCGTGGGTGTACAGCGTGAACAGGAGGGGGTTGAGCACACAGCCCTGGGGGGCTCCCGTGTTGAGCACTAGAGTTGTGGAGGTGAGTCCGCCAATCCGAACTGACTGGGGCCCGTTCGTGAGAAGTCCACTATCCAGTTGCAGAGTGTTGTATTTAAACCCAGAGTGCTGAGTTTGCTGATCATTTTCTTAGGGGACATTGTGTTGAACGCTGAGCTGAAATCCACAATCAGGATTCTGAAGTAGGTGGTGTTTTTCTCAAGGTGTGTATATATTAATACATATAAATAGATCTGTTTTAAAGTTGAGAGTCTAACAATGTTGTAGGCAGTCAGCAATCAATGTATAAATGGATTTCTCTGAAAATACTTACTTCTTTGGAGAAGCTATAACTGGCCATATAGACTAGTAAAAACCTGGTTGGGGATAAGGTTAGGTGAGGTGTTTCTGTGTTTATTGCGAGATCTCTCTATGAAAGTGATTTGTGTTTTGGATTCTATTCGCTCATGAGTTCAAGCGAGCACGTGTACGAGCGCACGCCTGGTTGCAATCTTAAAACCGCAACATGAGTGGCCGCTGGAAATTCCATAATGCCCCTTTAATGTTAACATTAATTCCACACCCAAACTTACAGCTCCATTAAATAAAATAGAAAGTTCAATTAACTTAACGTTATGTTACTGCAATTTTTGTTTCAAGATTCACCACTTATCAGATATTAATTATGAAGCAGCTGCCGGGTCAGCAGACAGACACAGCAATCCCTCAACAGCCTCTTGTAACGTTAAATTTGGTCTTATACAAGTGAACTGCACTCACCACATTCAGAGCTACAACTGAAGAGTCTGTGTAAAATGTCACATAAAATATCAGCGCTAACGTATTGCATCCAGTCCAGTCCTGAACAGTCTAATGTCAAAGCTGCAAGGAAAATTGAGATCTGGTGTCAAACTAAACATTCTCAAATCGATGACAGTCCTTCATTTCAAAATGGAGGTTTGTGGTGGTTTTCGCGGTCTGTTAATATTACTGTATTTAGATTTAGAGTAATATTTTCCCAGAATGCATTGAAAATCTACAGTAACATACTGTCCACCGCTTATACAGTTGGAAACAGTTAAAAATACAGTAATAATACTTAAAAGTATAAAAATAAATTCAGTGTATAGTCTGACGATGTTATAACTGACCATGGAGTCGATCACTTGGTCATCCATGTTACTGTTTGCAGGCCTGCATTAACCTGCAGTTAGGCCTGAGCCTCAGAGGTTTTGTAGGCCCACAATAAAAACAATAAAAATGTCTAATGACCACGTTTATCTATACTTTGCGCGACAGTAAGCATGATCGGTATGCGTACAGTAAAGGCAATGAGTCACATTATGACCTTATGAATCTTTTCTAAGGAAGATGCTCCTACCAATAGCTACGGAGTCAACACTGTAAAATCAAGATCACAGTAATAATTAGTTGATCAGCAAACACATGAATGCAGCATTGTAGACAATATTTTGTCCTTGTAATCCACGTTTCCATTGCAAATGATAGCCTTTAGATATTATTGGAAACTATTCAGAATCCCCCTCCTTAAAGGGGAAGGGGATTAGTATCGTAATCATTTAATATTGCATTGCAAATAAATTTTCATACACACAAAGCGATTACAGTACTGGTCCTACCAGGCTGGACATGCATTCTGCCATAAAACGTATCCGCCCTCTATAATGCACAGATGTTAATCTGATTCCATTTATTTTGATTTTACAGTGTCACATTTTAGGGTCTAGTTCTAGCTTCCAAACAGTAACATGGATGAGCAAGTGATTAAATCCGTGGTCAGTTTTATCATTGTCAGACTATTGCAAAAAAATTTTGCTATAAGATAAATATAAAGTTCAACATAATGTAAATGTAAATCTGGAAGCCATGCATTAGCTTGCTTTGCAAAACCTTTTTGATAAAACAACAATACTAAAAGGATAAATAAACAATCTACATGTTATATTTATCAGTTACTTTGTTGAACTCGAAGTTCCTTCACAGCTGAATGCATGCGCTCCAACTGTCGGGGGAACGCCTTCTATCTGTGGTACCTACCTTGGCACGACACCGGCCGATCAGCAGCCTCTCTGTGCTGATACTGGAAATGTGCATGTGTATTGTTGTGGGTTACAGTCAAATGTGTCGTTTGACTTTCCAACAGCCATATACAGTATGTAATTTTGGGACACTTGACAATAAACCTATTTTGTCATTTAGGTATGAGGATGTGTTGCAGCAATGAACCATAATATACAGCTACTGCATTGATGATGCAGGTGTCATGCTTAAACTCATATTTTTATTTAAAAAGAAACAATATTTTAATTCAATTGATATTCTATAACATATATCTTACTCAAAACACAAATTACTTACATTTTGATAACAAATAAGTACTTACTAGGAGTAGAAATATGCAAAAAAATATTATCCTCTGAGGGTATCAAAATCACCAGGATTTTTTGCAACTTACAACTCAGCAGGGACATGTCACAAATGTGTTTCAACTCAATACACATCTGACTGGCTTACAATAAAAAGTGAAATTTATATAACAAGCTGCTGCATTGGAAGAAACATCTTACAGCAAAAAAGTGATGATGTCTTTATAACAGACATTTCTCACTAATGGGCAATACACAAAGAGGAAATCAATTTGGAATTTAAAAATTGAGCATTTTATATTTAAAGTAGATCTCATGCAGATGTCTATGAAGATTCTCAGTCATCCAGGTCATAGTTATCCAACGAAGGCTAAAATGAAGGGCAACTAGACTTGGTTGAAGCTTCAACCAAGTCCAGTTGCCCTTCATTTTAACCTTCGTTGTATAGATCTCATGCAGTCTGAAAATCCTTCTACAGTTTAATGTTACTATTAAACAGTAGTTTAATGTTATAAGTGAGTTAAACACATTATAACCTTGTTAAATATTTAAAAACTAAGGGATAGTAAAATAAAACAAAATGAAATTTCATAATATGTATTTTATTTTACCTAAAAAACCATGAGACATGTCTTTCTCTAGTTAAAGTTGCTCCTGTGCAATAAATCGGTTATGTCAATAGAGGGCGATAGAGAGCAAAAAGTGTGTGTATTCAGAGTACGTACACACACCGAAAATCCACACACATTTTCGATTTTGGCATCTTTTTGAGGACCTCTCTGAAACTTTGAGAGAAGCATATAAACAGACTCTAGAGGCCATTACAGTGAAAATAAAGTGAGGACCGGCCTAAATGTCCTCACTTTGCAAAATGGTCCTCACTCCAAAGGTTAAAAACCCTTGCTTGTCCTCACAAAGATAGCTGTACAAACACACACACACACACACACACACACACACACACACACACACACACACACACACACACACACAGCCATCTGCCCTCTACAACTATGGGCCACAAGGTAATGTGATGTAAGATGATAAACGAGCTAGTTTAGCCTGATGTAATCATAAAGAGTGTGTGTTAGTGAGAGTGTGTGTCTCTGCAGAAAGCAATTGGCAATAAATAAATAAAAAAGAGCCTGAGTTTGACAACCTTCTGTTGGTTCGGATTAATCACAAGTAAACTGGAGTTTCAGAGCGAGAGAGCGAGGAGCTTGAGATTTTAACAAGATATCACCATCCAAAGCTCATAAGATCAGTGGTGCAGTCATTTCTTATAATTTACAGCGGCATTTCAGGTTAAATCTAATGAATCTAATGACTTACACTTTGAGCGATGAATCCAAACATCACACAATCCAGTTTATACCCAAGTGACACAGCCGAAGGTCTGACACTTAAAAATGAGACACATGCTGGCTGCTAGCGAGACGTGTAATACTTCCTCCTCCCTGACAAACCCCCCACCTCACCCCACCTCTCACTTAGGAGCCTGCAACAAAACAAAACAAAAAAAAGAAGTGATTTCCCCACCGTGGCACAATTAGCACGATAACACCGTTGTTAATGGGTAACCGAACATTTTCCAGAGAGGTGGCATTCATACTGTTGGATAATTAAGAAGAGTCAACCTAGTGTCACCAACACTTGCAGGCACGTACGCTCACACGCAGATATGCAGGATGACAGGAGGTGAGAGCGTGATGAGAATAGAATCGTGGTAGTGATGCGAAACAAGACGTGAAGATATGAAAATAGGCAGGTGGAGATGAAGAAAGGTAGGGTTGGGAGAGTGTGTGTGAGAGAGAGAGAGAGAGAACAGTGGAAGTGATGACTGGAGGTCAAAGTAGGAATAAGTGTTTGCAAATCTTTGCTTTCTCCTGAAACAGGCCCTGTGATTTATAAGAATCTTTGGGTTCATGAGACACTTATCTAAAGTTCCGTGTCATGTTTCCAAAAAAGCATCCAGTGCCTTCGTTTCATAGTTCTTGGAAGTTACAAGGTTTTTCTTCAAAGTACACCACTAAGCTTAGTCACTAAAAGCACTGAACTTCAGCCTCACCAGTGATAACGAACGCTGTAGGCCATAAAATCTACGCAATCACTCCAACAATTTTCTCATCTGCCACTATCTGCACTATAAGCTGTGTGTCCATACATCAAACAGCAGGCCCCACAGCTGTTGGCAAGATAATGTAAGTCCTTGACATCAAATGGAATACAGCTATTAATACCATATCTACATATGTGCAGACACATAATGATCCGCCTGCCCCGAGGTAAGATGGTGTCTTGTATGAGGAAGCTTATAGTGTTAGTTAATGTTGAGTAAGGCCACCGCATCGCATTAGCTATTCCAATTTCTGTCAATATCTCTATTCGCACTACATCCATACCCATCACCATCCCTCACACTGGCCTGTGGGATGTTTGAACAGCACAGATGTGTGTGGTTCAACATGTGCGCAGCTGGCTGGCGTACTCCGTGTAACCATGGCAATGCCAGAGGGACACAACACTGCTTGGAATGAGGTTTGTTTGTGCTGTTTCGCCACAGCTTTCTATTTCCACAGGGATAGCATGCACAACGGGGAGAGGGCATTGGCGATAAATAGTACAAATCATCAACAGGACGGTTCCTGATAGATCCTATAATTTATAGCCACTGTAAGGGTGCCCACATGAGGAGCAATCTGAAAGACACTTTTGCCAAAATATCAAGGTGTGTAGCAGAAAGGTGGGGACATAAAAACAAGAGGCACCAATTTGTCTCTTTAACTAACCCGTTGGAGACTGTTGTAGATCTGTACAAAGTACTGAATCATTGGTCTATTACTGAAATGATTGAAATAAGAAGAAAAAGTCATCCAACAGACAATAATCAATGCTAATTTTGTTAATCAAATGATTCTTCAAAGAGGCACTCCACCAACTTTACTCATTAAGTTCTGTTTAACCGCCATGTGGATCAGCACATTATACAGTTACATAATGTCTTCTGGGACTGGGGAGGGCGCTTTCCAAAGTTTGAAAAAATACCCCCAGTGATGTCATCAGGGTTATCGCAGTAGTCGCTTAAGATTAGTTTAAGATTAAGATTAAAATCTGTAACAGAAAGTCTGTTACACACTGGAGAGGTGGGCAACTTCATTGCGTCTAATGAAAGAGACTTTAAAGTTGTACTATGTGAAGTGTAGGATCCATGGTTTTTGGGGTGAGACTCATACTAGGGACTAAAAGGCAGGATTTATCCGCCTCTCAACATTATGGAAGTGCAATATTAAATCACTGGAATACCCCTCTAAGTATGCTTTTTAAATAAAAAATAAAACATTTAAAATTACTGCTTTGTCTTCTTTTATTATGATTGTAAATGAATACCTTTTGGTTTTGGACTGTTGGTCTGACAAATGAAGCAATGTAAAGACAACACATGACAACTTGATGGACACTTTTCACTATTTTCAGACATTTTTAAACATAAATTTATTGATTTAAAAAATAATCATTAGCTGAAGCCGTACTCTGATCCAACAAAAGGACACCACATGTGGATCTGTGGTTACACGTTACATGTGACTTGTGATAACACTGGCTGCCATCTTAATGGACTAGTGGATCAGGCATTACTCTGCTTTCGTGAACAGGTGTTTGTGTTAGGGATTGGAACTTAATTATTGTTTAACCAAACATGTACGTAAACTCACCATTATTTTAAGTACTTATTTCACTCATGTGACATAATGTCCTTCTACCTCTATAACCAGTGTAGTGTATAAACAAGCAGGTTATGTGTCAAGCAGATAGTGAAGAATTCAATCACATACTTACACTGTCACTTTATATAGGCTGCCTCCTTTTATACACACACATATAAACATGTTTTAATTACATTATCTGTCCAATCCACTCAATGCACAGTAAATGTGCCTGCCTAATGCGCAAGACACATTTGGGAGCTGAAGGAAAGTTTCCTGAGATGTAAGTGAAGGATCAGTCCATTAAGTCATTAGCGTGTGTAATCTGAAGGCTTAGTTAGAGGGAAAAAACATTAGGGGAATGGTAATAAGCAGACATTATGAACGGCAGAAGATGCGGTTAAACACACAGGCAGCCGACACACAGAGTGTTGAGAGAGACACCTCTAATGACGTAACCCTGTGCTGATGCGAACAGGAATATTTGCGTGAATAGGTGCAGCATGTATGTGTACCTGTATCGTTTTATGTGTGAGCACTATTGTTTCAAACGTGCCCGCATATCTGATATGTGTGCACGTCTTTGTGTGTGAACTATATGTGCACAAAGTCATGATGCAACCCAACACACCACAGTCGCAGCAGCACGGTAAGATGACTGTTTCAATTGCCTCCAATTGCATCAGGTCAAGCAGAACGCTTCTCGCTGGTGACAGAATGATAAAACAGACCCCCCCCCCACCTCCCAATCAAACGGCTGACAGACAGAACGAGAAATAGAGACTTGGAGAGATCTGAAGCTTCTCAGTGAGGAGAGCTTCAATTTATGGCTTTTTATAGTCAAGTAATTAACTTAATCTAAAAATATTCAATAACCCCTGCGATTATTCACAGAAGATAAATCATTTTTTGACAGAACTATTTCTCTGGATCATTTCAGAGCTCTATTGCTTTTTATCAGGAGCAATGAGAGAATCTCTAGTAATGTGGAGAAATAAGATCAGGCCGGATGCAGATGAAAGCACATCTATTGATTTTCAGCTTTATATATCCCATTGTCAAGCACTGACGACAGTCTTTGTGGTTTCAACGGCCATTTCCACACCGTAGGCCAAAACATGTAATATTCAAACCACACAATTAAAAGCAACAACAACAAATGTGGTGCAATCCTTTGCAAATGATTATCACATATTATTTTTTTTCATTATGTTTCACGTCACCACCTGCTGAACATTTCTTACATGATGGAAAACAATTACCACATGGAAACAACTGCATGACCAGTGAAATCAATTTGATTTAAACGGCTAAAATACTTCCCTTGTGTGCCAGAAGTGCCCTCTGGGTTGAATCCGAATCCCATTTCAACAGGGTTTGTTAGGTTTGGTTCAGTTTGGTTTGAATCTGTCATAAACAACCTACACATCCACACACTTGTCCAAGTATTTCAAAAACAAAAGAAAAGAATACAAAAGAGAAAAAAAAAACAAAGACCTGACACCTGAAAATGGAATAAGATGAAACCAACTTTAAATAGAATGAATAGAAAACCCACAAGATGTTATTCATAAAATTGAAGCATCTAAACACTAAACATTAATATAAGTTATAACTCTGCTAATGTTTCTGGCCTGCCTTAAATCATGACACTGCTGTGCCTTTGCTACATTACAGAGTTAGGTGAAAATTGTGCCATGCAGAAAAAATTATAGAAGAATTACTCACATTGTGAGAAGTATATTTCTACTAAAATACAAAGTGCATTGGCCTACCTCTCTCCGCATGCCATTTCCTTTAATAAAAAGTTTTTACACCTGATTTTAAAAACTCTTAGTGTCTCCGTTTTAAATATTTAGGTACGCATAATGACGACAAACTGAGTTTCACTGAAAATGTTGATTCCATATGTTAAAAGTCGGCCAGACACTGTTTTTAATTTAGAAAATTTGGGGTCAGTCAAAACATCTTGGAGAAAGTGTTTTCAGCCTGATAGAGTACTCACATGTTTAATATGTCTGTCTGGTTTGGACAAGATTGTCAAAGTAGCAGGAAAGACAACAGACCAACAACAAAAGTTACAGGATGACCTTTACAGAAAGCTCTGTCCATCACTCCATACTGAGTTTGAGCTGCTCCCTTCAGGGTGATGATACAGAGTACCTCTGGCAAACAAAAACACCTATAAGAGATATTTTATACCTAATGCAATGAACTTAATGATTAAACTGCACTAATCTGCACCTTTTTGATGTGTGGAGATGTTTGACGTAATAGTGATGTTTTTATATGTCTGGTGAGACCAAAGCTGATTTTCTGGTCTCGGCTGGACAATAAAGCTGTATTCTATTCTTCTCTAGACATCTGGTAGGTTGCTCCAAATTTTAACACAATGAAAGGATTTAGAAAGGATTTGGACAATGCTGACTATTATACCTACAGTGTGCTGGTCTCTAGTACACTCAGACAGTCTGGTGTCTGGTCATTAAGGAATTTATACATGACTTGCTGCCAAATACTGAACCCTATTAGTAATGTTCAGACATTTTGTTCATATGAAATGCCCTAAGTAGGTTATTTTATTCAAGTAAGAAAAGTAAAGTATAATTTTGTTTTGTGTTTATCTGTAAGTTAGCCTGTTGTAAGTCCAAACGCAACTTTCTAATTACGTTTTCTTCCTAAGAAAATGCCAAGCACACAACTAGACAAATATAATGAATACAATCTCCTGGTAAACAAGGTGTACTCTCTGATGTTTGGTTTGATGTATAATCCAGCAGCCTTGTATGAGAGTGACAACAGAGTTATATGGTGTCATGGAGCCAAACCGTTAAATGTGCAATAAAGTGGAGATATGAGAATACTGAATGTAACCTCTCTAAGGATAAAGAAGTAGAAAATGAATGTAAAGTGGCATCCATCATACGTATGAAAGAGAAAAAGATATTTCAGCGGAATGAAAGAGACATTTACACAAAGAAAGGTGGAGATGGACCGAGACTGAGGGGTCAAAACCACACAGCTGATTCAATGTCTGCCAGACCAAATGCTATTACTTAACCCCAGAAACATGGTGATTGCGTTCTAAACCAAACAGAGGAGCGGAGAGTGGAGCCTGAGTCAAAGCTCAAGCCGGGAGGGAGACAAAGAGAAAGAGCGTCAAAGAAAATTGAAGAACAAATCTCAAGCTGTCTGGTGGAAAATAATGCCGATCATCAGTCGATAATCTCACCGAATGATTAAAGCAGGAGGAATTAGACAAAGAAAAAGTGGATAAGGAACAAAGTAGAAAAGACAGTGTTCCTGCTGGATGTCAGCAGCTGTGCTCGGGTAATCACTAAGCAGCTCATTAGAGCTAATAACAGCCGTTAATCAGAGGGAGACTTAGAATAGAAGTCTCGACCAACGGTGGCCAGACCATGAGGAGAAAGAAGCCGATATTAGTTAACCGCCTACTGGCCAAGATCCACTCCACAGATTGCTCAATCGGACAAACAGGCAGATGGATAGATACAAAGATGGAGAGGAGAGGAGGAGGAGAGGAGGAGAGAGGAGGACAGGATAGGTGAAAAAGATGCAATGGAAATACAAATAGAAAAACAGCTCAGTGACTAAGACACTTTCACAATAACAGTGCTCCAGTGGCTCATTTGTTGAAAGTCTTTTTATGTTAAACAGACCATAGAAGTGCTTAGTTACTTTACAGTGTATTAACAAAGCAACAAACATAATGGAGGCACCTATATGTTACACGATGTCAAGTACAGTAACAGGAGTGAATAAAACACCAAACGACAGCGGCTCCTATGCTCCTGACACCAGACTATATCAAGCATTTTGTTTCTAAGACCACAACAGTTGAGCCAACTATTATTATAATGGCCCAGCACCGTAATCCCCTGAAGTGAGGATGCAACTGAAATACAAACAAGTATGGCTTAGCACAGCACGGCGGGGCACACTGTGCCACAGCTACAGCTCCATTTAGTGGGGGCGGCTGTGGATGTCGAAGTGTGCTTGGGCAAGATACTGAACCCCAAATTGCCCCTGGCGTGAATGTGTGTGAATGTTAGTTTCTGTTTGAGCACTTAAGCTCAGTGTATGAATGTGAGTGAATGGTGAATGCAGATGTAGTGTAAAAGCTTCGAGTGGTCGAAACGACTAGTAAGGCGTTATACAAATACGGAGCATTTACATTTACAAACAACAGATCAGAGTAGAGATATGCAGGGGAAATGCAGAGCAGACAATAAGACGATACAGCATAACGCTAAAGCTAACCGCTCCTTACTGCAAGATATGCTTCCAACCTGAAAATTTCATTGAGGCAGAATAATGACGTTTCTGTTGCAGGAATGAAGAAATCCTAATTCAAGGACATAGTTTCTGTCCACTCTGTTGAGACTTTTCTCTTTATATGAGCTTCAGTCTGTGCTCTGTGTGTGTGTGTGTTTGTGTGTGTGTTACACTCCTGAAAGCATTCCATCACAGCTGACTGACAGTGTGTTTCCATCTTCCAAGCTTTGTCCCTGGGTGCTCCACCAAGCCACAAGTCAGTCTATCTGCAAACAGTGACATTGCAGACCCAGCCTGTCTGTGTGTATGTGTGTGTGCACGAGGGCATAAGCTGCACTTCTTCTGAGGCATTGTACAAAGTGTGGTTCTATGTCTTAGGCAGGTGTGGTAAAAATGCTATAAAGTAAGAATGCTTTCAAAAATAGACATGTGAGTAAACAAACTTTCAAAATAGCATAAATTCTTCTAGGTATACTTGCACAAAGTCAGGGATTTGTTAGGCACGTCATCAGTGAATAATTAAACAAATCCACCAAACAGGTGCTAATGATCATACATTCAATATGTAGGATGAAACACAAGCATTAACAGAAAACAGAAACAGCTGTGTAGGAGGAATAAAATTGACACGGTGAGGTTACTGAAGACAGTTAACTGCCAAAAGGCATACATCATGGCAAGACTGAGCACAGAAACAAGACACAGGGTGGTTATACTGCATCAGCAAGGTCTCTCTCAGGCAGAAAACCTTTTTAATGCAAGTTAGATACAAATATTCCACAAAATACTATTAGTTTACTAATGAAAGACAACGGTCATTCTCCAGTTTACTGCAATGCTAGTTCTGCAGCACTAGACCATACCTGCTAATTTTTATTGGTTCATGAAAGTAAATAAATATGCACTAAAATTATACATAAAGTGAATATATTAATGTGATACTGACAACAATGTGTTACTGCCTAATTCTATATCTCCAACAAATGCTCTAGCCCTAGTGTGGCGTCAAAAAGCAGCTGAACAAAGTGATATCTAGCAACTGTGCAGGGTTAAGGAATCACCATCGATAATAGCCGGCTGAAATAAAACAACTGCAGCAACTAAAATAACAAATACTGTCAAATAGGGCTGACCCCAAATAGTCGAAGATTCGATGCTTCAATGGGCGGAGCCTGATTGACTTAGCAGTGGAGTTATGAAAGTAGGATCATCCATTTTGGAGCTGAACATCTCATTTTACACAGAACTAGTGTTTTTCTCCCAATAAGTTAATATGCAGCCTATTATGATATAAATTTCAACATAGAAAGCTGTAAATAAAAATATGAAAAGAAAAATGCTTTTATTAATTCTTTTTAAAGTGCGTGAATGAATCCAAAATTTTAACCCTAACCCTGGGGTTAGCCTCTGTTTAGCTGTAAAAGTACAGTGTAAGTTGCAGTGAGTAATAAACAAAGACTGTAGCTCTGCAGCTTCTCAAGATTAAAGCGGAGCTACCGTGTGTAACCCCCCACCTCCCCGCCGCTGCACAAAAACACATGATTCGACGATCAGTCGACTATAAGCAAGACTCGACAATTCTGATTCCACTATAGCAGTCGGGGACAGCCCTATCGCTGCATAACAGAGAATGTCCCCTTTATTCCCATAAACTGAATAACCCAGGCAAAATGTGCCCTGCTCTTCTCACACTGTTTACCGAGGATTTTTAACAGAGTGAATGAGTAACCACAGTTTATGTTTAGCAAAGCTACAGTTAGCGAGCGCAATGACAACATACATAATCTTAAAGGAGGCATGCTGCAATTTCTCACTCCCATTTTCTCCCCATTGGTTTAACAGCATTTTTCAAAGCTGGTAAAGCATGTCTTGTTACCAAGGGACTGAGACAAACTTTTAAAAATAATGTTAAATGCCAAAGAAAAAATGGGTGCCATAAAGCTCTTACTCCCTAAAAGCTGAATTGTGTGTATAATTTACAAATGTGCCCTTAGCAGACAGCAGTTGTCCTGCATAAGCAAGAGATAAAGGACGTGCACATTTCTTTGCATTAGTGAAAGTTTGAAGAAGCCTTTCGAGAAAAGGCATGTGTCTAGGGATCTGAGTGGTTTTTATGTTTTAAAAATAGGCTGGCTAAAAGATACACACAGCATCTTCCACAGGACTAACAGGACTTCCATCATACAGGCACTTTTTGCTCCTCATCCCCTCCATCTTCCCAAATAACCACAAGCACTTCACTTATTCTTTTTTAAATACCAAAACATTACAGAAACTGGCGACATTACTGCTTGTAAGACACCGACTAAGCTTAAGTACCTCATGTAGCTGATAATGAGGAGCCTCATACTCTAATTTGTTACATTTAATGTGGCATAGACGTATGGAACATTTATCCTATACAACGTAAATCATCAGTAAATTCCAGGTAAATACACTGACATTTTATCACCTTTAAAGCTGATATGGCTAACCTGTCACGTCTTTCCACAAGGATATAGAGTAGCCAGCAAGTTGGAAAAAGTTGCCAGCTAGTGTGATGTGGGGGCATCTTTCCTCTCCCCTTTCTTCTCTACTGATATACAAAAAAATACAAAAGCATTCTACGACATTTTGAACTGTAATATAAACTGTAAAACAGTGTGAGGCTGAAGCAGAGCATACGTTTTGCTCATATGAAACAGGCCTGTTACTCTGGCAGCATTGTCTGTTTTAGTGTGATTTAAACTTTTGATTGGGTATTTAAACAGACAAAATAAATTCTATACAGAGGACGCACTGCTTTCACACAGTGGTGAAACACACTCAGTACAGAGCTAATTGCTGAATTCTACACAAAATCCTAGCGACAGAGGAGCTGTTGCTAGTCACTTTCTGCCCGCTATGACAAGTACAGCCTGAGATCAGCTTCACAGCGGAGGACGGTGATAGGCTACTCCAGGCCATTCATCTCAGGGGGGAAGGACTGCCTGGCCGGGCCGCTACCTGACAGCATGGGGGCAATTTCTAAGTCACTCATTACCCCCTTTTAGAAAAACTTGTTTTCCTTCTCTAGTGTTTGTTTCTCTGTATCATTCTGCCCATCATCATGCCCTCACTCCTTACTCTTAAGTCTGCCAAGAGACGCTCTGGCTGCTGTTATATTCCACTACATTGTCCATCTCCACTGTGGCTGAGATTCTCTTTCACTCACGATTGTCAAACCATCACCTCTCGGAATTATTTTCAAATACTCTACCACATCTCTTTCCCTGTCTCTCTAACTTGCTAATATGTTCTCATCTTTCCTCAGAGTGGATCCATACTTAAGGCACTGGCATGCAGATTACATTATGGATCCACTTGCCGATCAATAGCCCCACCACATTAAAGGAGGCCTGGCCCCGGCTCTTTGGCCCGTCAAGGTCCATCCTGCCTTTAATTAGATGACTTCTATTGTCGGCTAATAGGAGAGGAGCTACACTGTGGGAGATGGGGAGAAGACAAAGCAGAGTAATGCCTCACACTTGGAGAACAATAACGATAGACTCCCCAAATCAATTTCTCCTTTGACACGCGAGAGGCCTGCTAGATTGCTTAACAGTCCAGGTGAATACAAAACAACTTTAGTGCTGTTTTGCTTTCCACCGCATCTGCAGAGTTTATCAATAATCTACGAATTGGAACTTTTCAATTTGGATTAACAGTCAGGTGTTAATGAAAGCTGTTGACAGGAAGAGAAGGGGGAGTGCTGTGAAGATGAGGTGGAGCCATCATGCATTGCATCATCAAAAGTTAAATGGAGTGTATGGCGGCTGAACAAGAACCGCAGTGCCAGACCAAGGCTGTTTGTCTGACGCTAGAGAAACAGAGCAAGAGCGCTAAAAAAAGAGATACTAACAATGTGACAGATAGGAATGGTGAAACATGAAGACAAGTAAACTAACACAATAAAACGCACATATGCAGGGGCATCTTGTGAGTGTCGGTGTAATTTGGTATTTTTTCCCTACTCTGTCCCTTTCTGCTTCTGGGGCAGCCTAAATGGAAAACAACTTTGGGAATCAATCAATCTCAAAAAAGACATCTAGACAGAGTCGTAGAAAAAGGGAAAGAGAAAGAGAATGTCAAAAAAAGATGAAACAAAAGACAGCACATAACAAGGAACAGAGGATAGACAGAAAAGACTTGTTTAGAGGGTAGATTAAGCAGCCGCAAACATGTTGAAGTCTTAATCAGGTTCCCAATCAGCGAACCGGCTCACATCCTCAGATATAGGCTGTCACTCAAATTCACAAGGCTGCACACTGTTCAGACACAAACACGAAGTTGGCGCAAGGGTTTGAAAATTAAATGGGAAAGTTAGCGATCAGCTGTTGAACACATTGAATGCTAAAGCTGCTCCCTACTGTATTTGCTCAGTGTGCTAACAAGTTTGCCATATCAGCTTGAAAGGTTGACGTGCCACTGATATGTCAATGTTGTGTTTACAGCATGTTTAACATACTTATTAGCAAACCTAAAATCAGAGAAGAAAAAGAAATGAGCAAGATGAAGTATGAAGTGTCTGACACACAAACACATTCAAATGTTTCTAATGTAATACTTGTCAGGCAACATGCCTACATTGTCCATGGAGTGTATGTGCTATAGTATTTATTTCTAATAATTCTTAAAGAAATGAATTGTGACTCCCTGCTTTCATCATATACCCATGAGCTCAAATACAATGGAGGGAGGGAAAGAGAGGAAGGGGGGAGTACGATGCAACAGAAGAAAGAAAAATAGTTGGCAAGAGAGGAAGAGAGACAGCCAGAGAGAGCAAGAGAGCACGATAGCATGAGAGAGTATATCTCACACTTCCCAACATTCCACAAAAGGAGCAGACTTAGGCCTGTGAAAAAGCCAAACCTCTCTCTGCTCCGTCTCTCTCCCTCTCTCTCTGCGTCAGAAAACAAGAGCACCTAACAACAACAACAGCGCGCATCAGCCCATCATGTAAGATGCCAGCCAGGCACGTTTGAAGGTTTGCTGGCTGAGTGTGTTGTTCAAGGCTCATCAGCGCATTGGAGATGCAGGGGAACAAAGCGCGGGGTGATGCCTTGAAGATCTGACAAGAGTGTGACTCGCCCACAGAGAAAGGCAAAGAGAGAGGAGAAACAAATGTGGATAGAGGTAGGGATAATGAAAGAAAGCAGAAAATGGGTGCTGGAAAAGAGGAAACAAGACACCGGAGAACATATTAATAAAGGAAAACAATGGGAAATGTGAAGGACAACTGAATAAAGGTACTGGATACTGGATCTAATACCAGCCATTATTTTCTAAGAGTACAGTTTTCACAGAAATCTCATTTTGGAAATTATACTAATTTGCCATTTTTTTAGGTTCACTTCGCTGAAAAACAAATGCATTCTAACACAACATCCCAGCAACAAATCCTACCTTAATAAAAGGTTGAAATGTTCATTTTGTGTTGAAACAGTTTGTATGGAGGTGTTAACTTCCTGGTCATTTTGGAGCCTGTACTGTGGTTTGCCGGACTGTTGCATTGTATTGCGTTATACTAAAAGATGTAAAACGAAGTAGAAGTTAAAAGAAAAGCAGAGAAAACGCTTTAAACCAAGCACTCATTAGCTCTCAGTAAAGTGCTGCGTGCCAAAAGCAGTACAGAGAAGCACAGGAGTCAGAGAGTACAACCTATTTTGCGTGCTTCCCACCACTAAACTTCCTAAATCCTAAATGTATCTCTGTAACCACAGTTGGTCTAGAGGGTGCAAGGTAGTCCTCAGAGCATTGTGGTTTCCACTTTGTGGCTTGATGGCATAGCATAAAGAAACCAAACAAAAAGACAAGCAGGCCGTGGTTTTAGGGGGGACAAAAACTTTGAGGAAGGACTTTTGCAAAAAGGGGAAAACCAGGGACCTAAAAAAGTGGGCTTCATTCAAGAACAACCTGAAAAAGGATTCCTGGACACGAGACAAATAAAGCATTGACTGAAGTAAAGTTATGTAAATAATAATAATAATAATAATAATAATAATAATCATATTAAAATCCTTAAAATTTGTGTTCCTTAAAGATCACCAGTTTTTTCTTACAACTGCCAGTCTGTGTGTGTTTTGTATCTGTGTATGATTATACCGTCAAAAAAACATTCATCGGCGTAAATAAGGCACAACATCACACAGACGCACACAGTAGGAGGGCTCTGTAGACAACATGTTGGCTCTGAACATGGCAGTTCACAAAGTTATTCAACAGTCTACAGTTACAGAGCAGTATTTGGACCCGTGCAAACGAGCAGGTGTCGTTCGGTTGTTTGAGCTGGACAGAGCAATTGGATCTCAATGTGGACACTGGAGACACATTAACACCAGGTGTAAATGTTATCGGGTTAAAATCATATCTAAATACAAGACGCATTCTAATGCCAGGTGTAGAGGGGGTAAATTGTGGTTTGAGCAAAAAAGAACACACATGCCCACAAGTTATGTTCTCTCTCACACATACTGTGCATATATACGTGCAGTGTTAACCAGAATGCTTTGATAAATATAACTCACAAGCATATTTAAAAACAAAGTGAGATATAAGTGTAAATCTACATGAAAGAAGAACAGATAGGTGGAAGAATATAGAAGGAAAGAGAGGGCACAGAGCTGTAGAAGGAGTTTGTCGGGTAGAAAAGTGAAAAGAAAGACTGTCTCGAGGGTCCCAGAGTTGATTCCCTGTGACCTGTGGCGATGAACCAGCAAGTACACCCCGAGTCTTTTCAGCTACAAAAAGGTGCCACGTTGCACTGTGGAGAGCAGCACTTGCTGTAGAGGGGCAGCAAAAAGACATGACTGATCCTCAATCAATAGCGTATCACACAAAAGATTAGGGAATTTTTAAGTGAAAGGTAAAAGGCGCAAGAGAGGGAGAGATGGCACTTACCAATGTACTCAAAGACGTAGACGACAAAGAACGGCGTGACCAGGTCATTGATGCCTTGCACGTAACCGCTGGCTGGATGGCGGATGGCCCAGATAAACAGGATCCGCTCAAAAATCTTACACACAAACATACACACAGAGATAGAGTGTCAAAACTGTAGTTTGTAGACAAAAACACTAATGTTACACCAATAATACACCAGGGAAGTGAATTTACAATGATATGAAACAGAAAAGCAATGCATCTCTGTGTTGGGGAAGCTAAAATCAGTAAATGTTAAGTATAAAATGACTAACAATTAACCGTGGCCATAACCTGAACTAATCAATTCACTAACTAATAATTTCCCTCAAAACCTTCACGGTCACTGACACCTTAAATAGTTATTCTCTGACAACAAATTATGCCTCCAAAACAATAGGTTGGTTAGAATTACAAATTTGAATCATAAAAGTGTCCGTTTAAAAAGTGAGTGATGTTTGGGAGGGCAATTATAGAGATCAGAACAATTTGAGGAGGCGAGGTGGAAAAGCAGTACAATGGGCACAACCTTGCTTGCTGTGGGAGTCTGGCAGGAACACTACAGGTGCGGATGGCAATTTAGTGAACCATCATCGAATATTTGTTGATCACAGACATATAATTTATTCATGTCTTTGTTTTTGGGATGTGTTACAAGAACATTAAAAGGTACTCTGTGGAGTTTTAGACCACTACTAGCAATACAGAGCAATGGTTTTACAAGTTGGTCCCTGTTTTGTTGGTACTGTGCAGAACGCAAATGGACTCATTTATTCAGCTTATGTGCAGAGTAGCAAAGCAATGCGCCAACAAAGACAAGCAAGAAGAACACCAGAACACCGCAAGCTATAAAATTTGGATTAAACAATGCAGGATTCATATATATATATATATATATATATATATATATATATATATATATATATATATATATATATATATATATATATATATATATATATATATATATATACACACACACACACACACACACACACACACACACACACACACAATTATTTATATAAATATCAGTTTTTAAATATCATGTTTTGAGGAGGGAGGAAATACATTTAAAATGTTTAAGCTGGGGATACATTGTAGGATGTTGTTTGATTCCTAACTGTACAAGTAAATCGTATGGGACGTAAAGCTAAAGCTCACAATTTACATCCTCACAGTGTAAAGTCTGAAGGTCAGTGCTCACACTTATTTGCATAAACATTGGCTTCTGCACATTGAAAATTTTCAGTAAAGATTTATTTGAAAGCTAGGAGGCAGGATGAAGTTTGTTAAGAGATAACAAGGCAGAAATGCTGCCTCCATTATCTGTGCTAAAATTTCTAAAAACAAGAGACGCTGGTGTATATGCACTCGATGGCTATGAAGACGTGGACAGTATGGCTTGTTCACTTGGGAAAAAAAAAAAGAGGTAAGCTAGCTAACTTTTACTGTATAGATTATTAACTTGATAGCTAGCCCTGAAATTAGGCCCGACTCTAAAATAAGTTGTGTGGCTCATGCAAACTGGCTCAAGTCATGTAATAGACACAGCCTATTGTGTCACTTGTTTAATGAAATGTATGGGGTTGATTGTTCTTATGTAGTTTGTATGATGCTTTGGCAATATTGTTGTTATACATTCATGCCAATAAAGCTCATTTGAATTTGAATTAAAGTGTATGCCCAGCTTCAGACCTCAAAGATACACACAAAGTGTTACAAACACTGAATGTACACATAACCTTTGTTTCTTTACAAGAGAACTCCACAGGGCACCAGGTTAAGTGTATAAAAAAACCTACTTAGATAAAGATGATATTACTGGAGTTAAATGTCACAAAATTGATAGTAAGTTTTATTTTAAACACTTAAAACATTTAATGTGTAATTGCGTGTGTGCATGTTTATTCCATCACAACCCTCCTTTGTACACTATTTGAATCTCATCTTTATTTATGCTGGTATTTATTATCTCACTGTTTGCCCAAATGAAAAACTACACAAGCAGAAACTGGATTTTGGGCATTATGGAAATGGATGAGCAGCCTAAATTTGAGATGAAGCATGTATTTGCCTCTCTCAGCACAGAGCAACACCTCACTCTTCACTTTCTCGGCTGTACAAAAAAAAGCTCACTTTGAACTTTGTTCTTTGCTTTGGTGTCGATCTCCTCCCTCCTCTCTTCTTCTTTCACTCACTTTGTCTCCGTCTCTTGCTCTTCCCCTCTGAGTCTGTCTCCTCCTCCATCTCCCTCTTTTCTCAATATTTTTTTGCAAGGCTAACACTTCCATCTTCGTTACGGGTGGCTGTTTAATGCTGTCTAATGCTGTCAGCCCCAGTGAATTAGAGGAGGTTTGATGTTCGGCTTGTTTTTCTGGTGTGCAAATGGATTTCCCCCAGAAAAAAATATACACTCACTCTCTCTCACACCTTGCTGTACCACACCCATCAAGTACTTTCTTATTTTTTAGGAATATGTCATGTTTCTGTCACTTTCTAAATAACCTCATAGCTCATTGTTTTATGGTAGGAAAAAAAAAAAAAAAAACACGGCCATGGCAATGTCATTTTTTTGGAAGTGTACGTGCAAACTCTCATTTTTATTTAAAGTAATTCAATCAATGTAAAGGCAGTCGGAGTGACTGGTAAGATGCAACTCTCTCTGGCTTTCTCCTCAAATCCCCTTTACCTGCCTCACACCTCCCTCTTTCTTTATCAAAGCCCCATCTATCAAACAGGGAGAGAGGTGCCGGTGCAGGGGGAGTGGGTAATGGGACTTTCTTTTCATGCAACCTCAAAAGCTGACATGCATATTTCACATTGGCGCCTACACACAGAACCACTTTGAGTGAACCCGTGCACGTACACACTACCCTAACCCACACCCAGTTTACTATGGGCAAAGACTTCTACCTTGGTGTCTTCGTATGTGGAAGACAGAAAAAAAAGACAGAGAAACACCTCGCTCCAAATAGTAACCAAACAACATTGTCTGCAGGTTCACTCGGTCCTCAGAAGACAGCAAACTAGATTCTGGCAAATTATGTTAAACTCCCATTAATTTCATATTCTTCTCATGAAGCCGTGCGTCTCTAGGACAGGAAATCAACGCTATGGCTCCATAAAATTAGTCCCAGACCCCAAGGAGCCCTAGATAAGGGTAATCTCAAGAGTAGAAACGGAATTACAACAAAACGGTGTCAAGTCAAAGAACTCTTCCTTGACATTTGACACTTAAAGTGAAATAAAACTTTAGAAGGGCTTCAAAGAGGCTTAATAGATGATTCCGCCGTCAAAAGATCACAGTCTCAGTCACTAAAATATCCCATGTACTCATCAACAAAAAAAAGCGTTAAAAGTTAAGAAGTTAAAAAAGCGTCAGTTAAATGCTTGAAATGAGAAAAAGAAAATCAGATTTCTTAACAATGCAGACGCTGAGGTCTACTGATAAATCCTGCTCTTTCAGCCTCTAATCACAATTAGGAGGCAAAACTGAACGTTTTCTTTTTACGTTGGGAGCTAGTAATTTGCAGATTATCAACATCTCCTGAAGACTGTATTGTTCTCCAAGACAAGAAAAACTCAAACACTTAGATTCCACTTAGGAAATCACTGCAGAATTGCTTCAATATCCCTCTCTCCCCGAAATGGAACAGACTGTTGACTGCCTTCCATCACGACTAAATCTCTTTCAGCCCCATGGGGGGGGGCGATGACAAACAAGTGAATGAAATGAAGCAGAGGTGATTTTCAGGTGGTGCCGAAGCAAGCATAACCATGGAAAGAAAAAAAAAGAAAAAAAAAAAAAGAGAGAGGCCTTTGGAGTCTGTTGCATACCAAAACATATGAGAGCACGCTGTTTGAATATTTCAGTGCACGCTGGCCGTTTTTTTTTTTTCCTCCACGCAAAGGAGGGAGAGTTGCTGTGTGGGGATAAGTTGGAGACATGGGTTCATGAGGGGAAAACATATACAGTAGTAATACATAACATACAGTGGGGGAAATAAGTATTTGACCCCTTGCTGATTTTGCAGGTTTGCCCACTTACAAAGAATGCAACAATCTACAATTTTAATCATATGTACATTCTAACAGTGAAAGACAGAATCCCAAAGAAAATTCCAGAAAATCACATCATATGAATTTATAAAAATTGATAACCATCTGATGAGGAAAAACAAGTATTTGACCCCCTGGACAAACAGCAAGTATTCTGGCTCCTACAAGCCAGTTAGTCTTTCTTTAAGACACAGCCCCAATCCCAACCAATTATCTACATCAAATACACCTGCCTCACCTCGTTACCTGTATAAAAGACACCTGTCAACACCCAAACAACCAGCATCCAACATCACCACCATGGGCAAGACCAAAGAGCTTTCTACGGACATCAGGGACAAGATTGTTGAGCTGCACAAGGCTGGGATGGGCTACAAGAGAATCGGAAAGCAACTTGGAGAGAAAAGATCAATTGTCGGTGCAGTTATCAGGAAATGGAAGAAGCACCACACCACCGCCAACCTCCCTCGGTCTGGGCCTCCACACAAGATCTCGTCTCGTGGGGTGTCCCTGATCATGCGAACGGTGAGGAATCATCCCAAAACCACAAGGGGGGAACTGATGAATCAACTGAAGGCAACTGGGACCACAGTTACAAAAGAAACGGTTAGTAACACACTACGCCGTCATGGATTGAAATCCTGCAGCGCACGCAAGGTCCCCCTGCTCAAGAAGAAACATGTACAGGCCCGCATGAAGTTCGCCATTCACCACCTGGACGACTCAGAAGAGGCCTGGAGAAAGGTGATGTGGTCAGATGAGACCAAAATAGAACTTTTTGGCCTCAACTCAACTCGTCGTGTTTGGAGGGCAAAGAACACCGAGTACAACCCAAAGAACACCATCCCCACCGTCAAGCATGGTGGTGGCAACATCATGCTTTGGGGGTGCTTTTCAGCCAAGGGGACGGGACAACTCCATCGTATTGAGGGGAGGATGGACGGGGCCATGTATCGTGGAATTCTGGACCAACATCTCCTTCCCTCAGTGAGAGAGCTGAAGATGGGTCGAGGATGGGTGTTTCAGCACGACAACGACCCTAAGCACACCGCCAAAGCAACAAAAGAGTGGCTGAAGAAGAAGCACATCAAGGTTCTGGAGTGGCCTAGCCAGTCTCCAGACCTGAATCCAACTGAAAATCTTTGGAGGGAGCTTAAAATTCGAGTTGCCAGGCGACAACCTCGGAACCTGAATGATTTGGAGGCTGTCTGCAGGGAGGAGTGGGCCAACATCCCTGCCGAAATGTGCACAAACCTTGTCACCAACTATAAAAACCGTTTGACATCTGTGCTGGCCAATAATGGCTTTTCTACAAAATATTAACATGCTGTTTGTCCAGGGGGTCAAATACTTGTTTTTCCTCATCAGATGGTTATCAATTTTTATAAATTCATATGATGTGATTTTCTGGAATTTTCTTTGGGATTCTGTCTTTCACTGTTAGAATGTACATATGATTAAAATTGTAGATCGTTGCATTCTTTGTAAGTGGGCAAACCTGCAAAATCAGCAAGGGGTCAAATACTTATTTCCCCCACTGTACATAAGATGGCAGGTCGAAAAGAGGCCACCTTCTCCTTGTCTTATTTTATTATCTTAATTTTTCCCTCTTTACCTCCCTGGTTACAGCCCCGAGTTGTATCCCGTACAACGGGGACAACAGAAGGTGGCGTTAGGGAACTGTGTATGAATGAATGTGCTTGTACAAGTGTATGAGTCTACGTGCTACATATAAATGCAAAACATTATAAATGCTAGTACATCTGTGTGTGCCTGATCACACCTATGTGTAGGTGTACATGGAGAGCAGCCCAGAGCCGTGGTCACCTCATTAGCCTGCACCTCATTATGGGATTTTCTATCTGTGCTGCTTTTCAGGCCAGTAGTTCTAAGTATGACAGGACCTCCCAGAAGCAATGTAATAATAAGATCAACTTAAACCCATTTAAATGAATGGAATCAAGTTAATTTCTCTGTTAAGTTGTTTTGGGAAGCTGCAATGATGGTCCCTTAGACCTGCTGAGTCAACTTTATACACCACAGCAGAAACAAAGTGACTTGTACCACATTTAAATTTTAAGTGTTTATACATACATAGTGCTAACCATGCAGAATGGAAGTTTATGTGTATTTGATCACATGCATGACTGTAGGTATAATTTACTTCTTCTACATGTAGTCCTAGTTTGTGTTTGTGTGTGTGCACCCATGCCAGATCATGCAGTGTGCTGAAGCAAGGGTTTTCCCGTTTCAAATTCCCAGGCAGACACAAATCTAGTCCTTGGCTTATAAATAGTTTTTTCTTTTCTTGATATAAAAATATGACATCCACTGATCCCATTATCACACCCTACACTAACTTTTTTGAACTAATATATATGATTGGAAGTTTTTATCTATTTCCAACTGTCACTTGAACCCATGCATGCTTTATTTCTCTACATACCCCCACAAAATCAGTGTCAGCGATGATGTTGCTACCCATATCTGCCCAAAAGTAGAGGGGAAAACCCTGCTAGGTGAGGTGGGGTGTATGTGCAGTGGAGTGGGGGGTGGGGGCTCACCTCTTGTACAGAAGCTTGTTGAAAGAGAGGAATAAGAGGATTAGTTCTCGGTATGTCAATGTGAATCTGCAGAGAGAGAAAGAGAGAAAAAAAAAAGACAAACACTGAAGCAACGGGCAGGTTAGCACAGATCTGGCCAATACAGACTACGACAAAGACAGAGAGGGAGAGCAACAGTTAGTGGATTGGTGTCCTTGATTGAAGGCTGATGGGGGTTTCAGTGGTCTGAAATGGATAGCAGCGGTGGTCCTGAATGCGAGTGTGCATATGTACGTCTATACATGTCCAGATGTCTCTGTGATATTATGTGCTTGGAAGTACTTTTGTGTGTGCTGGACCACATTTACACCATTTCAGAGTGTCTACCCCGCAGATGAACAATACGACAGGCAGGCAGATTCGTCAGAAGGGAGCCAGACGGATGCAGGACAGCGGTTGGAGGCAAGCCAACTGAAATGGTCCAGACCGGACGGGCGGACTGTTTTGTAAGAGTGTGTGGCTTGCTGCTGACAGGACTGGGCATTGAACTGTATTCACAGTCCTGTCTGCTCTGTCCACCTTACCTCTGTCACCTTTGGTTGCAGCACCAAAGACTCAGGACTCATCCTAGGAATGTCTATGTGGATCTGACAGCAACATGGGAGAGAAAAGTGTTAGACACACACAAACACACACGCACACATTTACACTCATGAGTACCAATGTCTGCCTTGCTTCCTCACACTCACACACAACTATGCTGCAAATTAATTGGCTTGCCCCGCCTCTTTCTGTTTCTCTCTCCCTGTATGTGTCTGCTCTGTTGCCGCTCTCCATCAACAGTATGTTTTATAAAGTCAAACAGGTTTTTTTTGTTTTTACAGCAGCTGGTGCACTGCACATTGAAACAAAACCAAGTATGAAATCTGAACTGGTGTGTTCACTGTCGCTTTACCTGGTCTGTGCATGTAAAATATCCAATGTGTCTGCATCTTGTAATGTAAAAGTTAACAACCCTCTGTGTGTTTCTCTGCAAAATGCTAAAAGGGGTTGCCAAATATACCTGGGTGGCCGTTAATGTAACTGGGCAGTCTGCCCAAGTAATGTCTATGTGGGAAACAATGCCTACTACTACTATGACAGTAAACTGAATATCTTTGGGTTGGGGACTAAACAAGCTATTTGAGGACATTTGATTTGAGCTTTGAGATACTTTACAGACCAAACAATTAAATTGATTAATCAAGAAAATCAACACTCAAAAATAATCCTTAGTTGCAGCCCTAAAGCAGCCTACGGCTAACCATAACACCCTTCTCTGCGTAGGTCCACCAAGACATTTATGTGTGTCTTCAGAGAAGTATAATTCCAGCAATTCAAGCATTTTGAAATGATTTATGTAAATGTGAAGTTTATTTGCAAAGCTTTAGGAGGCTCTCGCTGCTTGCCCTGGTATACAGAGTTACGTTTCATGAATCTCCAAAACAGAAGTAAATTATAAGAAGACCAGAATTTTGTTATGGTGGATATTGTTATTGAGCCAAGTGGCACTGAGGGGAATTACTCTGTAATGCATGTGCTGCTGATCCCGCTGAGAATCAACAACCTTCTATGCAAATTCCTCTACACTCAATGGAACTGTCATCAGCATTCAGTCCTTTGTTTTGATTTGCTGGCCCATATGGTTGAGTTCCAGCTACGACACATAAAACTGTAGGTAGCTACTGCCAGCTCAGAAGATCAGTACAAAATCTGCCAAGTGCAAAATGGCAGAGAGATAAAGTAAATGAGTGACTGGTTAAAAGAGTCAAACCTAGACTAAGATAAGCAAATGTTGGGCTTACATTCGACAGGTGGCAGGGAGAAGGATTTAGATGGGTTACAAGTGTAGCTCCGTTACTACTGGATGTGTATGTAGGCGACTACGTACTAAAACCTTAGTCATACAAACTTGATAATTTAACAAGGCTCTGCTACTGTGACTGTGTTTCAGGAGTATTCTTGAGGTATTTCTACCCTCTAGTGGTCAAGATTTGTTTAATCCTACGTTAACAGTAAAACTAAATTTGTTGTTTCAAACACACAACTTCAGCGTCTGTCAGCCAAGAAGATATCAGACAATTCTTTATATCTTCTGATGGCTTAAAAAAAACAAAACCGCTGCAGTACTTCAAAAAGCTTGCAGTGCACTTCTACAATGGCTACACACAAGCTGTTTGGGCAAGTTACCAACAACATAAACAGATATATAAAAGAGACAGATGGACCGATACAAGAAGAGACACAAACTATGGAGACAGGAGGAGAGTTTTAGACTGGCTCAGGGGCCATCCCATATGAACAAAGATAGATACAAAGACAAACATAACACATATAGGTACATGTAATGTATGTAAATACTGTATGTCTACAGGCACTTAAACATAATATACACAAAATACAAAAAACCCCACTGTCGTGCAATTTTAGTGCCAAACAAACATATGCACAAACACAGTTAATCTCACACACAGGAGGAAAAAAAGAAAAAAAAACAAGAAATCACCGCTCTGTCAACACAAACAGCGTTGAAACAAGCAAAATTTGGCAGAAAAGAAGGCTTCAAGACGCGATCCAAACAATCATCAAAACAAAGTATGCCAGCTTTCTGGCACAGTGCAGAGGAGATCAATGGGAAATTGGACGGGATGTGATAAATGCGTGTTTTTGCTATCAACAGCCCACTTTGATGTTTCTTATCGGTTTGAAATGAATGGGAGGTAGTCGAGTGTTAGAATGAAAGAGTATGTAGGGGGGAGAGGGAGACAGATAAACAGAGAGAAAAAAGTAGATATTATTTTCAAAACCAAGTGCTCATTTAAGCAGCTCTCTGAAGCTTAAGGCTGGTTGTCTCTACTCTGTGAAAAGAGTGCAACCACAGTCCCTCCATGTCAACACAGACAGACACACAGACAGACATGCCGACCACAGTCCTATGAGTACATGAGAAAGGAGGAAGAGACAGAGAGAAAAAAAGAAGAATGAAAGTGGTCTCAGTAATCCTGTCAAAACTAACACTTTCTCAAACACACACACAAACATACACATAAAAAGCCTACAAAGAGGGAATACATTAGTGACAAGAAATTGTTCCTGTAATTGAAAATGGAACCTTTTGTAGTTTGTCTTTCATGCTGTCCTTCAAGTTCTGGGATTCAGATGGGTGTTAAAGAACAGAGTCAGATGTAGAAGAAAAGAATAAATGCAAAACAAGTATACGGGACCTGTGAAAGTGTGTGTGCATATACCTGTCTGTAAGTGTCTTGATGGTGTTCGTCATTGCGGGAGTCATAGTATTGCTGGATGAAGCCAAAATATTCTTGTCTCTTCCTCTGTAGCACACTGTCTCTTCTTTCCGCATTAGCTGGTAGGTAACCCTAAGAGAGGGTGAGAGAGAGAGAGAAAGAAAGAAAGATAGAAAGAAAGGGAGGAAGGAAGGACACAAGAAATAAGTGTTTAATTCTTTGATACCATGTTTTACATCATTCTGTCCAACATACGGTATTTTGCTGTTAATCTTCATCTTGATCCTTACTAATCAAATCAATGAACATTTTTGATTTGAGTTGAGCAAGTGAGAGTTCAGTAGTTAAGTTAAATATGCTCATTCACTTTTCTTGATGAGAAAATCAATACTGCTCTCATGTCTGTATGTTAAATATGAAGCCAAAGCCAGCAGCCACTTAGCTTATCTAAGCTAAAAGACAAGGAGCAGGGGCAAACTGCTAGACTGGCTCTGTCTGTAAATTGAAAAAAATGTATTTATATATATATATATATATATATATATATATATATAATCTGCCTATATCATCTCATTTGTTTTATTTGTCTAAAAACCAAAATGTATAGTGTCAGTGATAAGTGATTTCCCACTATGCCTTTGTCATGTCAAATGTCCAATCATTGTTTTAAGAACTGCAATTACATCACTCTTCAAACTAATTAATTAAATAAATTAAGACTCGGTCAAATTGAACTTGTCTGTGACAAATCATTATCCTGAACATATTAAATTGCATTGAACTGCACTAATGTAACATTATCTGAAATCATCTGCATCATCACCATTTGCAAAGCTTTAAAACATTGTTCTGATACTAGTACAAGCCTGAAAGAGTTTTAGCAAGTAACTGGTAATAGTCCTAACTAAAACACCTGTCTTGTATTTGTCTCACACACCCCCACACCCACCCACACACCCACCCCCACACACGGGACTCATTAATTTAGCTCTGTAGATATTTAGTAAGACTGTCATTTCTGTGTCTGAAACTGCATAGCATTTTATGTTGTCTGTTTCTCTTATTTGTCTGTCACTTGTCTGTCTTATTTGTTATTTAATGAGCCTTTATTCACAAACTCTTGTTCTTAATCCTTGAATCTCCACCACTTGGGATTGCATAGACTGTAAATGACATACTTCATTTTGCAAAGAAAACTTTCTACCGCTTGACCGAAGTGTGCCTTTTTCCTTAAGGGAGCTACCTATCTGAGCGTGAGCGCGTGAGTGTGTACACTTATTGGAATGTGTTTGTCAGACAACATACAACTGTGAAAGTGTGTAGCCTCCTTGTGTGGTCAGGCTTATGCAATGGGGAGAAAGTCAACTAAAAACTGAACAACAAATCTAAAGTCTATGAAAGCAGGAGCTGGGACCAGGGGCTCTAAAATATTCACCAAGTTAAAATCTCAAACGACTGCTGGATCTCCACGCTGGATTGTCTTGCTGTTAAACCTACAAATGATCCTTATCATAGCTGTTGAAATGTTTTATATTGCCCTATGTGCATGTGTTTGTGGGTCACAGTTTATTTAATCCATTTTGACAATAGGGACAATCTTCTGGGGCCTTACAAACGAATGGCATGTGATGTTAGTAACGAATGTTTCCGTCAATTTTTTGGTTGTGCGTTACTGAAATTAGAGTTGCAACACTTAGTTGATTAATCAACTAAATGAAAGTTAATGTGCAACTGTTTTGATAATTGATTACTAGGTAATTTTTAAAGAAAAAATGCCAACATGTTATGGTTCCAGCTTCTCAATTGTGAATATTGTCTGTTGTCTGCATGTCCCACTTTCGGTAAAACTATTTTAGATTTCTGTTTTCTCTGCATTATTTAATTTGAGAAGATAAGAGCTGACAAGCAATGGCAACCAGATGAGCGGCCACAAATGTGCTTTCAGTATGTGTTAAAGGATGGGTTCACAGTTTTTCAAGTCTTTTTGTTTTGGATTAAAACAACAGTCAGGTGATCACATGTATCCTTTAAGAATTCTAAACAACACATCATTTAATCCACATGTAACTTCGGCCATGAAATAACAGGTCATGTGATACATAACCAGCTGTTGGGTGACAACTGAGCCAACTCCATGACAACAAAGAAAAGTCCACATGTAGATAAAGACCTTGAGGTGCAGTTGGAAACTCCAGAAAAAAATAGTACAAGGAGTTACATTTCTTTTGTCAAATCTCATTAAGATGTTTTATCAAGTGCCACATTTAGGTTGCATGAAGACACCTGAGCCAGCTACATTTGCTGAAAATGACAATGAAATATGGTTGAAAGATAAGAAAAGGCCAAAAGGCTAGTAATTGAACCTGGAGTTATGTTATGACACCTGAGCCAAGGCTATTCTCTAAAGAAGATCTGGCTGAAAGCTAAAGACTAAACCTCCATGCTTAAAAAGAGTTATTCGTAAAAGTTTTAGCAAACAGACAGACGCTGTAGGAGACCTGTGCTCTCTTCATCAGTCTGTCGGTTTTTAAACCAGGTGTTTTTCTGGGAACACATTGCTTTAGTGGATTCGCCATCAAACTAAACCCACCTGTACCTACACAGCCAGTCTGCACATCAAGCTTGAGGAAAAACATAACAGGCCCTAAAAGTCTGATATTGACTCTGTGTGTGTGTGTGTGTGTGTGTGTGTGTGTGTGTGTGTGTGTGTGTGTGTGTGTGTGTGTGTGTGTTTTATCTATGTGCATCTTTGTGTTTGTTAAGATTTTGCTGTTTGTTGTTTAGCATAAAGAAACACACATACCCACACAAAGTATCAATTTTGGGCAACTGTCTAAAGGAAAATCAATAAGTGCAGCAGCAAAAAGGCTGTCCTTTTTGTTATTTATTCATTTTTATAGGCCCCTCGAGAAGTCTGGAGAGTCTAGAAGCTTATTTGTTGCACACAACAACTTTGATAGCAGACACACAAACACGCATATATACTCGTGGCTTAACACATACAAACATATAGTCATAAATTTTAAAAAAAACACCATGGTTCAACACACTTGCACGTGTATGTTATGACATATAAACACATCACATTTCTTGTCAGCCCATCTATATTTTCCTCCTTTAATAGTACAGCCCTTCAAAGTGTTTTTCATTCTCCTCGTCTGTTGGTTTCATTTCTTAACCCTAAAAAACATATAATATAAATCCTCTCACAACCAAAACACTGTGAAGGAGGCCGACTATGTACTTGTCCACACCAAGTCAGCCAGCCGGTCACATTTGCGCCCGCAGAATCAGGTTGTGATTTTTTCCCGTAAACACCCTTGGCCAAAAAGGCCACGCGTCACATGTTGAAGCCGCTCCGTTTGAGGACACATGCACAACAAATGAGGTCGCAGACGAACACAAACCCATAACAAGCCAGCCACAAAGCTGTGGGCTCCAGTGTTTTGTGCACTCTGCCAAATGAGGTAGAGGAAAGCATGTGTGTGTTGAAGGTTAATAGACAGCTTAGTGGAGGGCAATGACACTGCAGCGGCGTTACTGCTCCATAGTACAGGACCCCCCCCCCCCCCCACACCCCCACACACACACACATTTTATTACTTCTCTGTATTACTTTTAACAGGATATCAGAAAACTGTGGTTCCTCATATTACCAGGAACATAAACTGTGCAACATAACTTCATTTTTTGACCTAATTGTGCATGGCTTAAGAATAACTTGTTAGAAGGAGTAGGATGCAGACAGCACAGGAAGCGTGCATTTCTTTTAGAGAATAGAAAATTAAAGTAACTCACAGTAAAGTGCAGTAAGTGCCCAAGATCTAAGTGTACTTGTGCTTGAAACCGAGTGGCTAATTTTCATTTCATTTGTGGTCTGCTGGTTAAAAAGGGTGAGTGGATATATAAAAAAAACAAAACACAAGAGAGAAGACTAAAAGTGAAGCATGGAAGCATGAAGGCTCTGTACAGCCTGCCTGTGGTACAAAATGTGTCAGCAAAGCGCTTTCCTCCTGCTTCTGTTAATCAGTCTACATAAACCCCATCTCATCATTCTTCCTTGCATCAATCTACTCCTCGATCCTTCCATCCCTCTAATGGGTCCTCCACTTCAGTAAGCTCTGTGTAAAAAAAAAAAAAACCCCGGAGAAATATGCTTGGGGAATCCATTTGGGGAATTTAAGTGAAATAGGTTTTTTTCTCGTAAGTCTTCTCAGTCTCAATTGATTTCTACTTAGCAGGCGCACATCACACGGAAACAGACTGGAAACAAACTGCACCACTGTGGGACACAACCAAAACTTGACTTCTGTTTAAAATGCTCTTATCGTTGTGTCTCTACATGTCCATTTTCACACTTGTATATGGTGAGTTGAGTTTCGCTGCATGATTTCAATTTGGAAACATCCGCGTGAGTCAATTTCATACCGTGACCAACTGCAGGCACGGCAGAGTCACCAAAAACCTGTATATGGCGTTTACATGCCATCCCTGTTTTTATCACATCTCAGGTTTCTCAGAAAATAAGAAATGTTTTTTTGATTTCAGAAACCAGAATATGGTGTTTACATGTGCAACACAAAATACTCCAGATACTAAAATACCACTGCCCAAATAAACACACTCTATGGAATCTAATGTTCATTTACAGAAGGCTTTGAAGTAAAGGTCTTAAGTTTCCAGAAAAAGATGAAATGAGGAACAGATACTGAGCGGTAAGCAGTGGGCAGTGCTGCTTTTCACATCTTCACTATTGAGCTTGACCCATCCTTGATAGTTAGAGTAGATCAAATGCAGAGAGTGTATTTCCCCACAGATATACAAACCAAACATAAACATACACAAAGGCGCCATCTTTCAATTCCAGGTCCTGGATCTGTTTACAAAAAGCAATTTGCTCAGGTCTGAGTTGTTAATATTGAGAGGTGGCAGTGGACCTGCACTTCTCATGAACTACAGAGGAAGTGTACACACTATAAAAATATTTTAGCTGAGGAGGTTGATCACAATATATATGAAACATATTTCATGTGGGGAAAAAAAACATTGTTATTTACTCTCAGGCGATGTAATAATGTGTAAGGTAATAGTTTAACATAATAATCTCTAAATCTGTCCCCACTGCCACTGCTTCCTGATACACCTCATATAACCCTTTAGCCTTATCAATATTTCCACAGCCAGTTAGTTTTCTCCTCTCCCACCACTTCACATTTAACAGGCACACTCCATTAGCAAATGTACATATTGCCACAGGCTGACATTCTTCCACAAAGCAGAAAAGCCATTTAATTTCTCCTTTCTCCTTCAGGCTCGGACACAAAGCGGTCTTTAAAATAATGAAATAAGACGGTATAATTTCTGAAATAATAGGAAGTTCAACCGGATGTGTTTCTGAGGCTGGGGGCAACCTGTGGAGCCTTTTGTTCAAACAGTAAAAGGAGGTAGAGGGACCCAGTGAGGCTCAAAATTGCTCTCTACCTCTGATATTTCTTCCACCTGCTTCTTGCTTTTTAATTTCCACACTGGCTAATAACAGTGGAGACATTTATGGAGGATTTCTGTGATGTGTTGATACATGCAGGCCGTTGGGGGAGCATTACCGAGCTCTAACCTCAGTGGGAAAACTTGTTTCTCGTCTTTGTCAGGTAAAGACGAGCGTGGCTCAAGCATGCCTGCTGGAGGGGAGAAAAAAATCAAATAAGTTGGTGCACGCTGGTGAGCAGCAGAAGGGCACAAGGGACACCACTACAGTGAGGTTTTATTAGGTGCCTCTGCCAAGTTTATGGAATACAGCGTGGGCTGCCAGTCTGAATGTGTGTGTATGTGTGTGTGTGTGTGTGTGCATGGCAGAAGGAGAATAGATTTTTCGAGCCTGATCCCTCCTATCTATTTCTCCACTGGATCATACCACAGACAGGACATAGAAGGCAGTCAAGTGTTATGACACTTCAGAAGATATGAGTGCTTTTGACACTGTGCCCGGTTTTCGCTTTAATCCAAACCTTGGATTTAACCCTGGGATAATTCACGCTGCACAAGGCTCTAAGATCTGAAAATTTATTGAAAACTCTGCCAGGCGGGGCTGATATAACTTAAGACGTGGATCTTAAGCTTGCACAGTCAAAACACCTCCTACATAATTATTAAAGTCCCAAATACTTGCAAATAGTTTGTGTGACTATCGTCTTGTCTAAAATATATTTTCCTTTGTTTTTACCAGCGCCCGGTAGTATCGTATAATTACCAGATGTCAGTAAAACGTATGTATGGCACGTTCAGTTTGGCTGGCTCAGGTTGAAGCCTAACATTGTCAATATGGTATGCCAAAGAGTATCATGTAGAAGTGCAGGTTCTGCGTACTGGTCAGTACCAGCCAACTTCAAGCACTGCTCACAGGGGATCCAATTTGAAGGCTCTGTGAGCTGTCTAGCCGCTAATGTCCAGAGAATCGTGTCCTACTGGAAATACTCTGGTTGGTTTATTCGAGGGATGCCGGAGGCGGGGCATGATGTGAAAAGTACGCTCTCTTCCAATAGCCCTAGCTTCGTAGTGGAGCGTTCAGGCACAGACAAACCAACGCAGCAGCTGGCTTATAAATCCAATGCCAACTGCATGTGTAAAATACAGAGACTGTGGATGGAGGAGAGGTGACTGGTGGAAGTCAAAGACATCATATTTAAGTTTATGTTCTGCTTGCTCAACAGTTGTTTGAAATATTGCTATTACAAAAAAACATTTGGAGTGGATTTGAAATGCAATTTTTCCCCACAATTGTTTTCATTTGGTGTTGGTGATTTCCTTTCTATGCAGGAAAAAACACGGAAATAACCTGGTTCCAGCTTTGTGGCTTCATAGCTTCAGGAAGAGTGAGATTGAGATACTGAAGCTGTGTATTTAACAGTATTTTAACAAAAAGACAACTGTAGATTACTGCAGGAAAGGCTTAAAGGATCCTTGTGATTAGCTTAGCTTAGCATAAACATTGTAGCATGGGGAAACAGCTTGCCTAGCTCTCTCCAAAGTTCCAAAATCAAACTACTTCTATGAAAGCTCCTTAGCTGTTTTTGCCAAAATGTCAAAATTTTCCTTTAGGCTAACTGTTGTGTAACAGAGGAGGAAGAACTTGGGACCGAGGGTTTATTCATATTTTTCTTTCTCACTGTTTTTAATGTTATCCCACAACCCTGTCATTTCTTGTTTTCCATTGCTATTTTTTTTTCTTACTCTTATTATTTCTGAATGCTCCTTCTGGCAGTCCAATCATCATTTATACAGGTCATAGGGCAGCTGTGACTTGCAACCGCAAGTACAACACATATGTGTATACACATGTACACACACAAATGCATGTATACACTCGCAAACACAGAAATGCACAATCGAACGCAAACAAAACGTTAATGGGGTGTTTTCTATGGTACATTAGCTTAAACAGCCAGAAAAACACACACACACACACACCTAAAGTGCCCCTCCTTCCCCAGTGCCTGGCTACCTTCACTGCAGTCAATGCTTTGCAACTTCATACGGCATTATGAGCCCTAACTTCAGTGGAGTACCAAACAAAGCAGCGGTTAATGGTTAAAGCGCCCAGTTGCTAACCTCCCACCACCAAACAGCAAAAACTGGCACACACACACACACACACACACACACACACACACACACACACACACACACACACACACACACACACACACACACCACACACACACACACCACACACACACACACACACACACACACACACACACACACACACACACACACACACACACACACACACACACACCTTTAATGACATCTTTTCTGCGGCACATTAACTATTGTGCAGTAATTAATGGGAGAGTCACGGCGTTCAAAAACCCAGTCTTCTCTCTGCAGACTAGAAGCTGTACACCACAACAATGGCTTAATGAGTAAACACACCACACGTCTCATGAATAAATTATTGCTGCCTCACAATTCATTTTCCCTATTGAAGTTTGAAATAAACGAAAAAGCAGAGCTGTTACCAGTCTTCATAAATCAAAAACGGGGGTGACAGCAACTTTTTGTGCGTTTGTGTGCCCAAGATTCTCTGTAATGCCTATTATATGTGTGTTTTATTTGAGTGTGTGTATGTGCATGTATTTAATGAACATTTTACACAAACGAGTGTTTGTTTCAATGTAGTCTACTGGTGTCTGAATGTATGGTATATATGCATAGCATGTGTGAGTTTGTATACGGTGTATAAAACTTACTGAAAGGAGCTTCCACGTTATAGGTCGGACCTGTCGGGGGATTCCAGACCAGCTGAGTTTCCGTAGCTCCTCTGTAAAACAACAAACAAAACATTAGTTTACACAAAAGACTTTGAATTCCCTCTAGAGGCCCACTGATAAATACCAGGCCGATAATATCGATAATGTTATCACCGATATTATCCGCCAAATTTAGCTCATGTTTCACCACCTTTGCTCCACCTGCAACATATTTTATAGAATAAAACAAATTTTTTTCAACTGTTTGTTAATATGTATTTATCAGCCTACTGTCTATTCAGGCAGTGCGTGGTGCAGAAGGGTTTCCCCCCCATGTTTTCTTTGTCAGCTACTGAGTTGATAAACACAAAATTTTCACAATAACAGTTTTTAATAATGTTGACTTCATGGCCTTATATGCTAACAAGTACAGCCTTACTGCAATAAAAGGATTCCATTTACCGGGACACAATGTGATCCCTATAAAAGCAATTTTCAAACCATTACTGGATTAGTAAAGACATTCTTGGACTTCCCCTTCCCGTCTCTCTTTTCCTTCACTGAAATTATCTGATGGGTTAGAAGTGGATTATTAATGACGTTCTCCCCAGGCCGGGTGGGAGAACCAGCTATAATGTAAAATAAATGTGATGGAAAGGTGCAAATTGAACTTTTAAATTGGCGGAGAGTAGTTCCCTTTGGGTCCATGAAGACCTAGAAAATATGGCTTAATGTTAGGTGCTACACATTATATGCGGCCCATAACCCTCTCTCTCTCTAACCCGCACACATTAGCAGTTAGGGAGAATGGGTAGGTGTAGGGATCAACAGCGACTCGAGAAAAGAGTTTTCCATTTCGTCCTATTTTTAGTAAATTAAAGATAATAACTAGACTACAATAAGGTGTAGGATATAGTTTCCCTGCACCAAAAAGAGATCATGTTCATAAAAAGAGCTAACGCTATTGTTTGTAGCAGTGCTTCTGTAGCAGTTTTTGCTCAGGGCCCACAGAGAGCCTTCTTTTGGGATATTGGGCTACATAAGAACGTTTCAGATTATGTCAAGTAGATGGTAAACTGCTTTTCCTCACCAGATGCCCAGGACATTGAAACCATTGAATTTTTTTCTTCTTCACACAAATAACTGTTCCTAAAGGGAAGTGAATTCCTTGAGTGACCTTGTCTACCAGGACCAAGCAGCTTAGGATATTCAAGATGTATGACTGTTTTTCAACAGTTTTCTAAAGAAGCAGGAGTTCTCGCTAACATTAACTCATCCATTATTCACAGATAGGTCTCGCTCTGCCCGCGCCCTGCAAGTCTACAAATACACCCCCCACCCCCCCCATTAGCATTCAGCAAGACGAGTTGCCACAGCCAAACCGAGACAAACATAAAAAAGCAATGGAAATCTCTTCACTTGTAATTGCACTGCCACTGTTTCACCTGCATTCCAAGAGTGAAGGGAAGAGGGGAAATTGATTTCCGTGCAAATGAAATGGCACTGCCTTAACATACTTTTCTCAGTAAAAAAAGAAAAAAGAAAGAAACAAATGTACTTAATGAATGAAGCCAAATTCTTCCTCAACTCCTATTCAAGGAACTGGCTGGAAATTGATAAGCCCTTTGCACAGAGTGAACACTATTGATTAGTGCTGCCAAATGACTCTGCCTTGCCTGTTCTTCAAGGCAAATGCTATGGAGAGTCAGTGACAGATAGCAGAATAGGAAATAGCAATCAGCTAAACAGCAATGGGCTAAGTCCATTGGCTAAATTGAGTGAAACGCATTAGAGCTTGTTCAGCTGATGGGAGTAGCTATTTATTCACTATAGTTCCTGTGCATCTTCCACTTAAAATTTCTCCCTTACCTTGTCCCCAGTGACTTTAATTATATAGAAATCCAATACAGTGATCTAGTGTACAGCATGGCTCTGTTGGTTTGGATGGAGTCAGAGCCCCGCAGTATGGGAACATTTTGATTACCCTGAGGTTACCTGTGCAGCAGCAAGCGCATTTAAAAACATTTTTTTTAAATACTCTCTCAAACATGACACAGACAATAAAAGTTGCAAAGGTGCTGCAGGTTTTCCAGGGATTCAGTCTGTCTAATTGCTACTTCCCTTTCCTCTCCTCGGACTGCAACAAGTGGAAGGTAATGTGTGGAAGTATGTGCTTATTGCTACCAAGTCATAGTGTGTACAGACGCAGGAAAAGCTACTGTCTGTTAAACACTTTGACTCATCCTGAAACTGCAGCTTTCAGGCGTAGTTAGCATTGTGCCTGTAATGCATCATGATGCACGTAAAAGTTTACAGGTCTTGGGAGAATTGCTGCATATATAGTGCAAAACGTTGCAAAAGTTGTATAAATGTATGGCTCCAGAGGAAGCTGTGTAAAATCTGATAAATTGCCTCAAGTGATGTCACTTCGTAAGTCATTGTAGAGCTGCGCACAGCGCAGATATTTGCTCAGCCCCTCCCCTCGCTCCAAGGCCATTTCACACTGCCTTATTTTCCAGGAGTATTGCGCCAATATGCCAGCTAGCTGCGCTGTAGGAAAGGTACAGAGTTTGAAATAGGGTTCCGATTTGATCCACCTCTGAGCCGGGAACATTGGTAGTAGTAACAGAGACAGAACAATGTCTGTGTGAAAAGCCACAAACGGCATGCCGGTGTTGTATTACACATTACACATCTTTTTCTACACCGCTTTTTCCGGAAAGTCGGATCACTATGTGAAAGCACACATGGTCACAGAGAAGATTTGAACCAATCCGGACGCCCACAGTTACACTGTCATTCTGTGGGAAACACTGCCACACAGACCTTGTTCAAATCAACTTCGACAGCTCCCCATTCCAATATTACTAGATGAATTACACATATTTGAATCTCTGCTGCCAATATTTACAGGTGTGTACGTTCATTTGCGACTGATTTAGACGGGGGGTACAGTTTGTCAGAAGTGACATCATTCAACTGCATTATTCTCTGCTGTATAACAATATATATTTATGGTGTTAGATTAGATTTCCTGTCATTTAGAATGGGAGACGTATATTAATATTTAGAAAAGACAATGTTAACTGAGGAAATTTACTGCTCCAAACACTGACAAGACTGCCTGCGGATGTGTCTGCAGACATATTTTCAGCCTAGTGAGTGCAGATATAGGCCAAAGCAGATTATCTCAAAATGGCAGATATCGTCCCAAGTAATCGGTCTATCACTAATGTTCATATGTCTGAATGCACTATTAGGTTGCTCAACGTCTACCTTACACATTTAGAGTGGGACTGCCACAGTGAAGTTAGGTAGAAACCATTTACAACAAAGTCCAAGCCTTTAAGGGTGAAATCGTTATCCTATGTGCACCTCTACATTCATTACACTCCTAACAGCTAGTCATGGGTGTCTCTCCTCTTGCCTTGCACCCTTTGAACCTTCATTTGCACTGCCAGACAAAGAAATTAGTTCATGAATCTTGTGGGCTCTGGCTTAATTAAAGTATGTTATATTTCCCCTACCTGGCATTAATCTCACCATAGGGGGTTCTAGAGAGGAGGGGTGAAGGGACGGGAGGCACAAGTTAGCTAATGGCCTTTACATCCTGATGCTGCAGTGAACTCCAGAAAGCCTTGTGCCCTCTGGTCAAACCCTCTGGATTGCAGGAAAGGTTTGTGTGCACTGAAGAGGCATCTATGCTGGTGTTTGTGTGTGGGTATGTGTAAGTGTGTGGCAATAGCGAGGGGAAAATATTTACTTGGCACCATGTGGCCAGCAGAACAAGCAGATGTGCCTGTTAGACTCATACATCACATACCAAAAACCGCAGAAACAGCCTCCACTCCTGAAAAAAATAGTCTTCCAAACCACTCTCCAGCAGAGAGCCAGAGCAGTGCAGAATCCAAATCCCAAACAGTTACCCAAACACAGATGATTTATAGACCCACAGCTGGACTGTCAGAGTATTGGTGTACTGCACTGCTACAGTACATGAAAGGACAATGATATATTCTACTAGGAAAGATTTTTTCACACATTTTAATTAGCTCCAGGCTAAAATCCTGCTTTGAGAGCACATCTACATGAGGAAATATGTAATCTATAATCCATCTTTGAAATGGACTCTGTGGTGATGCTTTATTCTAATGCTAGTACACTCTAGTAGGAAATGTAGTGTACCCCTATTTCCTTAATATTTACCATGTAGCCGTACTCATCTCAGCTCTAGTTCCTAACAAATCATTTCTGAGGAATAAAACTCCATTTCCCCACAGTGGGCAGAGACAGAGAGGGCAACATGAGCATAGTTGACATGCAGGCTAAATTGCAGATGTCGTTTCATTAGTGTGAGGCTGGCTCATCTCTCAGAAAACATATCTGACTCTCTAGGGCATCTCTTGTGCATTATGAATGAGACAGCCAAGCCCGATCTCCACCAGAATAAATTAAAGGTATTTCATGACATTTGGAAAATTAATCTGTTGTTTCTGCTCAGCAGGCAGTTGTCACATTGTTGGCGAAAAAAAGTTTCCGTATGTGTCCCGGAGGCAACGAGGGACTAGCTGTCCCGGTCAGTTTCAGTGAACGAAATGAACAATGCAAACAAGCCATTTATGGCTGACAGATTTGTCACTCCCATCTAGTAATAGTAATCTGTGCTACTAAAAAGAACTACATTAAATTATGTAGATATTCCTTTAACAGGTCTCTATAGAAAAATAAACTCATTAAAGCAAAAACTCAATTTACAGTCAATTCACCCCACAGGCAATCATTTCACAGTATACATATAGTGCAAGCGGAGGCAAGCTGAAAACTCAATTTCCCTTTTGGGACTAATAAAATGTCACATTATTATATACATGCCATGGAATTAGTGTGATCAGTATTGTTGGTGTTTATCATGCTGACAGGCACAGACCTCAGGGGATTGGTCTGGAGAGACCATCTCAACCCTGGAGGAAGCTGGCATGAAAAACACCTGTAACATCAGCAATGTGCAACTCAAGGGCAACTGCTGCTAGGCTTTCCTCTCTGTGTCTACTGTATTCCATTATGCATGAAC